AGATACTTATTATCTATAGAGTATAGGTGGTTGGATGTGAGTCAAAAATCACCACGTAGCCATAGCAGTGTTCAAAACCCCTGTTGATGATTATTTTGGGTTATACACTTTCCAAAATCTTGGGAATTACCGCAGCATATCACAACCAACTCAAATAGATGGAAATTCCTGGTGAATTTCAGTTTCAGTGAGAAAATCAGTTGCTTTAAATGGTCAGCCCTCATGGAAATTCCGATTTTCGATGATTTTCCCAACGAAAATCCGGCACTTTTTTCAGGTGGGTCCATGTCATCGCGACCCCTTCCCGAAAGACAAGATCCTGACCGATGGTCCCCTAGGCCGGGAATTGATGGGAAAAAGGACATTTTCTTCACAAAGAACTGGGAATACTGGGAGAATCTAGAAGAATCTTTCGGATTTTATAGGAAATTGACCACCTGATTATATGCTGAATTTACATGATGCTAGATGGTTGAGCCACTGGCAGAACCCAATGAGATATGAATGAACAATCAAGATCGGCTACAGCAAATTCTGCATTGGCAGATAAAGAAAAGTGCAAAACTCTCATCTTTGTTCTCCTTCTCTTGCTTACCGCAGTTCTTTCTCCTTTGTTCCTATTGTTTCAGCTAACTTCTCAGATTTGGACGAATCAAAAACATGTAGAAAATCTAAATACCACCCAAAATTGAAGACTATTGAAAATGGCATGAACATGGCTTAAATATGCGAAACATGAATCTTAAATGGACCACTGTGATCCCAACCTGTTTCAATCTTGACTGACTTCGTCAGGCGTCCCTTGGATGGCAAGGCACGTCTTTTTTGTGACGTCTCGATGTCACTGGAATTTTCGAGGAAACATCCCTATCTGAGAGGATCTGAGAGGATAACATCCCAGAGTTGCTGAATGATAATGAATGATTGGATATTAATATTCATATATTAAATGATTTATATTGATATAATATGATATTGAATTTGAATGATATTGAATGATTGATATTAAACACTGATTGATATTATGAATTTGATATGTTTTTTTTTCTATCCAGATGCAATGAATGTAATTGTTTCTCAGCGCAGACGCGTGCCATTCACATTGGATAGCTGATTTGGTATCGAGATGGAAGAGCCAAATTACAGTCACATAGTGCATATGTTGCATTCCCGTTTTGCACCCAATCTTCCATAGGACGAATGCACCATCGTCTCAGATCGAAATGACTCATGCTGATCTTGGTTCTCTTAGCTTTTGAATTGCGACAGACACTCAGTTGATATCTTTTCTAGTTTGCACTCATTCTCAGTTTGCAGATTAAATTCACGTGAATGATTTCTAAATCTGGCAAATCCAATCCCAGTGGTTCTCAATTGGAATATGGGATGCCGTGGGGATATTTCCAACCTAAGTGCATTTTCCACCGGTTGATGTTACTGTGGATCTTTGTGGTTAGCATCTCAATGAGTGTCGCAACCGTTTCCCATGAGTAGCAAAATCTGGTTTCGATAAATGTTCTTTTGCTTACCTCCCCATACCTCCCCAGTTCGAATTATTAATTTATCGACAGGATCTTTATCCTCAAATTTGCACATCACCATACATCACCATGAATCGTGAGGGCTAATCATATGCCTTTTTCATAGAAGCACTAGCCACATGAATATCCTGGCTGGTGCTTTCAAACATGAATTTTATTTTCCATTTCATATATGGGATAATTAATCCTTCCCATTGACGAACTCCATCATTTTTCAAGATGATTAAAACATGTTAAAACCACCAACCAGACATCTCAACGATTACAGTATTGAATGCCCATTTCAGCGAAACATCGGTATCAAAGATGGCTGGAGAATCCCCACACAGTTCAATCCGTTGTGCTTTCGCAAAAAAAACGCGCCATCTAAAACTGCCTAGCCTTGTGTTGCGCATGTTGAAAAATAGCTGTTTTTTCTGCGCCGGGGTTGGCAGATTCATCAGACTTCATCCATTTTTCTCCACGGATCTCCACGGCCAGGTGCTAGAGAAGGCTCTGAAGGACCAGAACTCAGCGGTAAAAAACGTTGGACTTTTGCGACTTTTCAGCCTGGATTTTCCCAGGCTCAAGGCGAGAGTCCGAGAGGCACACGGTGCCACGGTTGGATGAGAAGAAATCCCCACGGTTGGATGGTTCCCATGATAATCCCATTATTTATAAATAGTGTTTGATAGTTACCAATGGTCACCAAGTGCATTTCTGAAAAAACACAGTTGGGTCTTTTTTGGGGGTTTCCATAAATGCTATGGATTGGTATAGGAATTTTTAGGGTATGGCATGGTGAATCCGAACGTGTCCGACAAGGGTGGATCCCATGGAGGATGACTAGGGGTGAACCCCATGACTTAGGACACCTACAGCTACCACGGGGATGGTTTAGGTCATTTTTGGGCCAAAAACCGGCTAAAAACCCCACTATTTCCAGCTATTGAATACCGCAATTGTGGTTGGATGCTACTTTGACCAGAATCACTAACATCACCTTTTTTTTGTGAATTCTCACACTTTTTTGTGAATTCTCACACATGGACAGTTCTCACCATGGTGTTGTGTTTTTCCCCATTTTTCTGCGTCTGTCTTAAAAGTTGCTTCTTCTAGTGTGACAACTTTTTGTGTCATCAGTTTTTACCCTCTGGTTATTTAAAATGGTGATGTTCCATGGCTATGTTAAATAACCAGATGGTATGATTCTATGAACTTGGCGATTTCTGTGTCACCTGCAGATGAGAGTCGAAATGGGCACAAAATGAGGTGGGACCCGCTGGGGTTTAGCACTTCAGGACGTCCACCTAGTCCTCGTTTGCCAACCAAGTTCTGCTGGTTTTTTTTATAGTAAGGGATCCCCAAGTGGGTTTTAATCCTAAAATGGTCGTTTATGACTTGGATGATTTTGGATGAAAACTGGGGTTACCACCATGACAAAACGGAAACCTCCGTACGCTTCATTCATACTGGTCCATACGATCATCCAGAAACCCTTGGGTGCTGTTCTCCCAGGCGTTGAAAGCAAAACGCATGTAAATTTCAAACGCCTTGGCCGTGACCTGAACACAAACAGCATTCAACTAACATCAACTAATATAAGTACCTCCCATAATTGCATGAAGTATGCTCATGGTATAATACTTATTTAATACTGTATGTCATCAACATATTTTTGGATATGAGTTTTTGGATATGACTAGAAACTGGATGAATGTTGGATGATATTCTCACTCTAAAAAAGCGTGAAAAACCATGCGTTATGAACATCCCATCCCATCCGTTCATCTTAAACACCCAGTGAGTATGGTCCCAGTGAGATGTGGATGCATCCACATTCACCATGGTGACTCTGGTGTTTTTTTGATACAGTGGATGCATGAGCCATGGAAAGGATGAACAAACAATTCTGATCACTCCATTTGCAGCGAAATTGAGGATCATATTCCATTTTCCATAGATTTCCATATAGATTTCCATATAGATTTCCATAGGTTTCCATAGATTTCCATAGGTTTCCATAGATTTCCATAGATTTCCATAGGTTTCCAGAGATTTCCATAGATTTCCATATAGATTTCCATAGATTGCCATAGATTTCCATGGTATCTCCCAGCCCAGTTGAGCCTCAAAGATCTCGAGGCGGTCCCGAAGCTCCTCGCGCACAGATGCTGGACCTCCTGGGAACTGGGCTGTCCGCAGATCGCAGGAGCGATGATCGGTGGATTTCAGTGGGTTTTCAGCATGGATTTGGTCCGTTTTTGTAGGGTAAAACCTCTGGTAAACATACAAACAACTATGGAAAATCACCATTTTTCATGGGAAAACTCACTATAAATGGCCATTTTCAATAGCTATTTTGACATAACCAGAGGGTAAAACCTGGGAAAATGATGGAAAAACCTGGGAAAATGGAGAAAAGAAGTGGAGAAAATGGAGTCTACAGCACAATGTTGCTGGTTTCATTCTTGTGTTCTTGAAGCAACACATGTAGTTGTGAGGAGGTTAGTGAAAAATGGGATGATTCTTCCAATAAAATTGGGAGGATAATCAGCAACAACCACTATCAATGGATTGAGGTGTTTAGATATGTTCAACTATAGGAACAATATCCTCAATGATGACTTTGATATTTTTGAAGGGGGAACCACCAGAGGCCTCAAGCTGAATTTGTGTGATCGGAAGTGACTGCCAGTTCCCAACGTGGGCCTTTCCCAAAAGGGGAACGATGGCGGGTCCCATTCCATTCTTCGACCATCTTAGGGTGAGGCAACTGCCATGATGCCATCCCAGGACCACTACAGAGCCAGACGCAGGCGAAGGGAAAAGTCCCGATCCCTTTTTCGACTCCCTGTGTGTCTTCAGGTGTTTGAACACCTGCAAATTTGCCCAACTGTTGGATTCTTCCCTGAAGACAAAAAAAAATCTATGCAGTTTGCTCCAGTTGTTGAGATATTTGGAAGCGAAGAACGACCCAACAACTTGCCAAATACAGTGTAAGATCACGTAAAGACAAAGGTGGTACATGGTAGCCAAAATCCAAGCATGGGATGTAGAAGTAGCCAGTATATCACTAGTATATCACAGTATATCCCAGGAATTTCTGGGAAAGACGTGAAAATTTCACCTTGGTGAAATCTGGCTGGCTTTCCGGCAGGTCAAATCAAGAATATCTTCAAATGGCCCAACAGGCACGGAGTATCTCGGGCACTGGCTGTGTACTGCTTTTTTTCACTGATTTCGCTAGCTGAAAGTGCCAATTTCACACTGAGTTTTACAGACATATGACACATCCGAAAACCAAAATCCTCATCTCACAGAATTGGATGACGGGACAATTTACAGGAAACATATGACAGGGCTGTACCGATTCCAAGCCCACTTCGTTCATGTTGTGATTGTTGCCATAGCGCTTTTTCCTGCGTCGGACGCGAATTTCCATCACCCAAGATGCACTGATCGCAGTGACAGCAATGAATGATGCTTTCCCAAGGATTTCCGGCCACTTTTTTGGTGATTTGGTGTGTCCAAGCCACCCTGGCCCTGGGTTTGTCGTTGCTGGGGTGTCCTTCAGATGCGGCCCAGAGATCTGCATCGCAAAAACGGATGGAACGGCTGTTCTTGAACTTGAGGGAACGTGGACCCGGGGGACCCCGACGGAGACCTGAAGAACCCAGTGATGAAGAACTCTACTCCTGGCTATCGATGCTGATGGACGAAAATTCTGGAACTTCGGGTCTGATTCATGAGCCGACCGAAGCGACCGGTTACGCCACCTCCCATCATCCCTTACCATGCGCACCGGGAATTTTCACCACCGAACTCCTACAGTTCCTGTGGATGTGGAAGACACAATCTGCTACGGAAGAGGTGAAGCAGTTGGTCACACAAAGTGATCGACACTGGGCGTTTCTACGCATCAGCCCCTGGATGAACGTCTTGAAGTTGGGAGACCTGGATGTTTGTTGATTTGCTGAAGCTAAAAAAAATAGAGACTGAGTGTTATTTTATGTTATTTTGCCATGAATTACTACCACTACTTGGGATTTTTTGTTTTTCTAGGAAGATCAAATGACCCTTTTGAGATACTGTATACTACTTTCTCATGGCTCCCTGGCTCCCCGGATATCGCAATACTTGAGAATCTGTGCGTGTTTGGATTTTTTATCTATTCATTCTATTTCTAGATGGAGGTTTCCTAACATGGGAGTACCCACAAATCATCCATTTTGATAAACATGTCCATATTTTTAAACCATCCAGCTATTGGGGATCCACCATGACTATGGAACCCATATGTTTTATGACGTTCCCCAAGGATATGGATCTACCTTTGCAGCAGGCCACGAACTCTGCACCTTGGTCCCAGCACCTCCTGAAGCAATGGATCTGGAAAGCGCTGCCAGGCGGTTTCATGCTGCGTGGCCGGGGTCAACCACGACGGAGGCTGGGGCAAATGGGGATAGCCCAACTGGTAGTCGTTTCTTAGAAATCAGTGGATCAACAGGATCAATATTGAATCCTCGGCCATCAGCTTCACATGACACGACCATCTCATGATATTTGATGATATTGCCACCTGTGTTCCCAGAAGTTTCCCAGATGTTTCCCAGATGTTCCCAGGCCATTCCAGGCCTTTCGCCAGGCCACGATCTTCAAACAGTTCCACGTCTTGACCGCCGTCGACTACCGCAGCTGCGCGAGCCGAGGCCGTCGCTGTCAGCGCTGGCTGCATCGCCGCTTCGTGGAGTTGGCCCTACGGCAGCCCTTCGCCTGCGGCGTGGTCTGCCGCTATGCCGCGGCCTTCGCGTACTTGGCCCAAGCGCTGACAGACAACAGGGGCAGAAGGAGATGGTTGAGGTACCTGGATCGTGCGATTTTGTGTTTTGAACATTTGGATGGTTTAGGAGAGTTTAGGAGAGTTTTGGGTGTTCAGGGCATTTTCTGGACATTTGGGTGACTTTTTTTGGGGTATACTTGAAGCCCGTAAGCAGGATTTGAATGGATTTGATCAGTTTTTTTGAGGAAATGGTCCGAAGATCAAGAAAAATTGGTAGAGGATGCTCAGGCGCAAATCCTATTGGCGGATGGCATTTTCTATACACTGCTGGGGCCACAACAGGTGCAATTGACCTGTTCCTTGACGCGAAGCTTTCCAATTTTCAGCTTGCTGGCACGACTGGCCGGGATTCCAATGTCTTTGGGAGATTCCAATTCCAATCCGAGAGATGAAACTGCCACAAATCCAACACTGAAGGTGCCCAATCAGCCACCACCACCAACTTTGGCCAAACTCTGTGATCTAATCGACCAGTGGCCGCCACTTCAAAGGTTGACTGCTCAAGGTGCAATGGCTGTATATTCCATGCTACAAAGTCTTGGAAGTTTGTTGGATGAGTTCCAAATCAAATGGTGGATGTCTTCTGGAGCTTTGTTGGGTACGCTGCGAAATGGTGGCATGTTGCCCCAAGATTGTGATGTGGATATAGCCATCTGGCGACCAGATGCTCATGAAATGTTATCTCCCAAGTTCCAAGCTGCACTGGCTGCAGCGGGGCTGGTGTCGTTTCATATGCCTATCTATTTCCAGTACCGTTGCTGCTTTTGGTTTCAGAAAAGCTTAGGGGTTTCATGTTTTAAACCTTCCCATCCCTGCAAAGTGGTAGTGGGAAGACTCATGAATCTACGGGAGACTTCCCTGCTTACACCTTGCATTTTTTTTTCAGGCATATCGTCAATCCTAGTCCTAGCTTAGAATGGTGATGCAGACCACACCCACTAACTATTATTTTGCTGGTGAACATTCCATGTTTGTTAGTTAACACATGTCAATACATCACTGGTTGGTGCTTTGGACCATTTTTCATGTTTCCATATATTGGGAATTTCATAATCCCAACTGACGAACTCACTAACTCCATCATTTTTCAGAGGGGTTGGGAAAAACCACCAACCAGATCATCAATGATCATCATACATCCTTTCTTGTTGTTGAATATTCTGACGAAGATAGAGATCTGATTCCGACAGCAGACCAGGTTTCTGCTTGGTGCAAGTCCCGGCAGCAGCAGATCCCCGCAGCGTCCAGGGCGGCTTGGCCTGTCATCTGCCCTATGTGGATGCACACCTGGCTGATGTCGCGGAAGAGGGTCGCTGGCATTACATTCATCGTACTGACCTGCAATATGCCCACAGTTTTCCCTTGAAAGGTGGGGGTTGGATGGGCTGGATGGGGCTGGATGGGGTTGGATGGGGTTGGATGGGGTTAGGGAGCTGGAAACTCGGCACAAAATGATGAACGGTGATGAAAGATGGAGATGAAGTGGCCAGAAAATGGATCGAAAAGGCAACAAAAACAGACAAAAACATGATCGATGATCAAAGTTTTGAAGTGGTATTCAATCTACTTCAATGTAGTTCGAACATGTTAGAAGCCAAAAAACATCAAAATAACGAAGTGAAGTGGATCTATATAAATGGTCAAAATAAGTGCCTTGTGCCACCGGCCTTCCAGGCATCTTGGGCTCCCAGAAGAGGGACCTGCGTCAACGGCGCTTCTTTGGGGATGCGAAGGTGTGGATTCCAAACCTGCCGCAGAGCGAGGAATATTTGAACAAAGTCTACGGAGAAGATTCTGGCTGAGTTTTTTTTTTGGAAATCCTCTTAAGATATTTTTTCAGGGTTTAAGTTGCTGGTGTTTAAGTTTATGTTTCAATTCTTTTGGCGGGCCGTTTTTGTTTTCATCCAAGATGGTGTCCGTAGTATCTGGTGATATCAGGTGTATCAGACCAGGTGGAAACCACCCCCTGAAGATCCCTGAAGTCCCGAAGGTGTAAACGGAATGATTCGTTGGCGAAACGTCCTGCACCGTGATTTTTCAAATGAAAGATCAGGATTGGAGGAAAGTCCTGCGCGGGCGTCGTGGAGCAATGATCCATAACCTCAGCGCGGGCGAGAGCTTTTGGGGAATGATCGCGCGACCCACTGGCCCCCTACGGGATGTCATTCGAGAGCATCTTGATGGTGGAATGGGGGCTATGCCCTCTGGTAAACTAACAGTTTGCTATTGAAAATGGCCATTTATAGTGGATTTACCCATTAATAGCATGGTGATTTTCCATGGTTAAATTACCAGAGGGTATAAGATATTTTCAAGATCCAATGGAAACCCGAAGCATGAGATTTCACAGGTCGGCCATAGGATGATTTGCAGGTGAATGAATGATGAATCGCAGTGTTTTCTGGTCATTACAAGTCATTAGGTACTACAGGAAATTTGAAGTGTTCATGACTTTCAGTGCCAGGTTGGATCTTGTTGACTTGCCATGTTGGGTTCTGGACATCGGTTTCATTGCTGATGAATTCTCAACAGTGTCTTAAATACCCAGAATATCCAAGATACCGAGAACAGTGTCTTAAACTAGATCCCGGTATTAACTAGATACCGAGAACAGTGTCAATAAATGGTGGTGAATTATTGGATCCCCAGAGCCTTCAGCTGGTGGTGAATGATTTCCGAGGCAAAAACTAATCGGAAACTTATTGCCCGGAGCTGCTGTGACCTGCAGCCATGACTGCGACCATGACTGACACCGGAAAAGCTGCTGTTTGAACACTTGAAGTGACTTGGTTTGTCGAGGTCCCGTAGGTCCTAGGCCCTAGGTTTGGAAATGGGGGTACCCTCTGGTAATTTAACGTAGCTATTGAAAATGGCCATTTATAGTGAGTTTTCCCATAAAAAATTGTGATTTTCCATAGTTATGTTAGTTTACCAGAGGGTATATACATTGTATATGCCAGGAATAGCCAAAAAAACTTCGAATAGGAAAGAGGTGCACCACAGAAGCATCAGAAGCATCAACCAGTGACATGGAGGCCTTAGGTAGCGCCAGCGATCGCAGGCAGCCATGATGAGATTTATGCCTCATCCAGGATATATGGTCCTAAACTCAGCTGCAGTGGAAGTTTGCGCCATGTCATGACATGTCCAATCTAGGCATCTCTAGGCATCTCTAGGGATCTCTAGGGCTTTTCCAGCATTCTGCTTGGGGTTCTGACCGATGTTGGGGGATGCCATATTGCGAACCCATGACCAATGATGAAATCCAACTAAGCTTTGGATTTTTTTTGGGGATCCATGGCCCAATCCATGACGTACAATGAATGGCTTAAAAGGCATCAGAACATATGGAGGTTTCCTAAGTCGTGGGGGTACCCCTAGTCATCATCCATTTTCATGGGATTTTCCATTATAAACCATCCACTTTGGGGATCCCCCATGTATGGACCCCCCCCATGTTGATAACCCTCAAGTTACCCTCTGGAAATTTAACATAGCTATTGAAAATGACCATTAAGAGTGGATTTTCCCATTAAAAATTGTGTTTTTCCATAGTTCTGTTAGTTTACCAGAGGGTATATCAGAAGTCAACCGTGTTTTCCTCGGCCCTGAGGCCATGATGGCCTCACAACAGATGGGAATGATGTCGATGCTCGACATGAAAAACCACCAGCGGTTCAGCGGTCAGTAGAAGGTTTCACCTAAACATCAGGTGAACAGCAATTCTTTATTTGTTGGTTAATGATGGTTAATCATTGGTTAACATGGGTGAATGAACATCAGTAACCTCCATAAAGATCATAAAAGATAGAACATTGCAAAATCCTACTGAAAATAACCATCATTTCTATACAAAATTCTATCTTTTTGGGGGGTTTCATTTACGTCAGATTTTTTGGGCGATTTCAGGCCACAGATGATGGGGATGCAGGCTCCCAGATGGGCCAAAAAATCTGCGACAGGCTGGCACTGAAACACAGTGGTGGAATGGTCATGGCCAATGTATTGAGATGTAAACTAGGTTTTGTATCGTAAACAGTAAACTCTTTGTTCCAGTGTATCATAAGACATATATTGTATAATATATAATATATATATAATTATATATATATATATAATTATATATATAATTATATATATATATTGTATAATAAATATAATATATATATATATTATAGCCAAGAAATTTTGATCTTCTGACGGCAATTCTTGACATTTGGCCGTCACTGAATTTCGGGCTAGTCCCAGTAGAGGCAGATCCTCCAGCAGCGACAGTTGGTACCTCAGAAATCTGCCCTGAGACCAGCCATAGCCCTGGGTTGATTGGTTATATGATAGCCAGTGGATAGTAACCATGAGGAAAATAGAACATATGGTTATATGATACTATGGTTATATATATATATGATTATATGATATATATATATAATGATTGATATCTACCTGGTTTATTGACGTTTATTGGGGATTTCATGAAGTAACTGATACTGATAGGGATGCGATATCAACCAGTGCAATGCGATAGGGCAATGGCAAAATCGTCCAGATTTTGGCCCCCTGTGGCCCACCAGGGATTGGCTCCGACATATTTCATGTTGGGGACGTTGTACAATGTTGTACATGTTCACCCAAAAAGTGACCCTTACCCTCTGGTAAACTAACATAGCTATTGAACATGGCCATGTATAGTGGATTTACTCGTTGAAAATGGTGATTTTCCATAGTTCTGTTATAGTTTACCAGAGGGTATATATATATACATACACATTAATAACATCAATAGTTATGCACATACATGATCATACATGCATTTGACCACACATGACCCCGTTCGAACGGAACCTCATGGGAATGATTGGTGAGTGTTTTCCAGTCCCGACGGCTGGTTTTTTAATGTATCAAAACTCGCCATCCCAATAGATCAATAGATCCCATGCAGTCACAATGTATGGCCAGCTTATATTTCGCTTATATGGAGGTTTCCATGGTCATGGGGGACCCCAAAGTGGATGTTTTTTTTGAGGGAAAATCCCATTCAAATGGGGTAGCCCTATTTTAGGAAACCTCTATATGTACACATTTAACACTCACATCACTCACTAACCGCTAGCCACCTCATTTTCTTTCAGTCACATACATGTGCAAACATTTTTGGCGCGATTGAGTGTCTCCAAAGCGTCGCAAGTGCTGGTAAAAAAAAGTGTTTGACTACTATTCGGAACACAGAAATCACTGAAACAAGAAATGGCGCGCCACACGTACTGACCCCATTACTGAGCGAAACAGAGGGACTTCGCGAACGTTGGCGAACGTTGGTGTTTTCATCCAATATCCATCCATTATCCATCCATCCATGGGTGAATTCCTGATGTTTCAGAGTGATTGGATGGCCATAGGATGGCTTTTTTAAACTCCTAAGTCGCGGAGCGAAGTTTTTGCGACTTGATAAGGTTACAGTAGCAGCAGCTCGGGTCAGCAACGCCTTCTGCCGGGAGGAGTTTTTTTTTTGCATGGTGGGACAAGCAACAAACAAAGAAAGGTACAAAATGATCCCGTTCCCCCTAAATGGTCCCAAATAAGTGTAATTTCCCTATGCTATCCCTATGCTTAACCATGGTTTCTAGGGGGTGTCTAATGTTAGGGGGGAATCAACTACTGTTGCAAAACAAATCGGTGTTTCTGGTGGTTCGGCAAGGACAAAAACCAGAAAAATGACGGGATTCTCAAGGGAAAGCACTGGTTTTGGGATTCACGATGACCTCTGATGGGTTTGGCTGTGTTTTGACCGAACATGTTTCAACTACAGTATCAATTGCAATGGTAAGCCTAGTCTAGATCAACTTCAAAGAATTTTGCCAGACGGACGGAATTTTATTGATTATCCAATTCATGATTCAACAAAAATCATCCGAATCAATCAACTGATCTGGATGCAAAAACCATGGTCTGCATGGTCTGATACAGATGTTCCCTTAAACTACTCTAATGTGGGTAAAACAATAACAATAAACCATCCCCCAGTCCCAGTCATCACCATTTTTTGGTTGGTGGTATGGTTACCATTCCCAGGAAAATGGATGGTGTATGATTGTTTTAGCCAGTCGAATCCAGTGAACCTTCACCGCGGTGGAGATGATTCAGCGCAGGAACGATGTTTCCAGTACCTCCTCCACTACCTGCTGGACCTGATGTTGAGGTCCTGACAGCTGTTGCTCCTAACAGGAATGTCTGGAGGTTTCCGTTTCGTCATAGGGCTACCCCTAGTCATCATCCATTTCAATAGGATGTTGATTCTACACATTTCTACACCATCCAGCTATTGGGGTACCACCCTTTATCGAAACCCTCAGATAAGATTTATTTAGAGCAAATGATCGCGAACCTAATGATAAACAATGGATTTTTGAGGATGTGTGATGGAATTGTGGGGTTCCGAGACACTCCCATATTGATGTGTCCAACCTTCAGTACTACCTCTATCACGATGCTATTCCAACACTAAATTGATAACCATGACTGCGGACTCAGCGTGTCTTTCAACATCCAAATACCCCCAACAAAAATACATGGCTGAACATCCATTGATACCCCAGACCCAATGGCTGCTCTCCCAAGCCCCTGTCGGTTGATGGGTTTTTGGGGTGGACCACCCAGTGGGACTATGGTGATACGGCCCGGAACGGCCAAGATTTTTCAGCGATACCCCTTGATTGGGCGGTTGTTCTACATGGTATGGTTGCCTTCATGTCTCCCAAAGATGAAACCATTCATTTCTCAGATGTTGATATTTCATGATATTTCTACATAGAGCCACAGATTGCCCATAGGTAATCATAGGTGCCACAGGTTGCCCATTGCCCGCCCAAAAGCCTGCAATTGTCCGTGCCAGGGCTTTCTGAGAGACCACACTTTAGAGGCAGAGGTGTGCTATAAACCTGACACGTGTTGACCAGTTGATTCATAAAATCTTAAGATTGGGTAATCATCCTAAAAATCGCCAACATTCCTAGTTTCTAAGGGAATTGTCAAGCAATTTGCGTAGATTTGATGTTTTGTTCGTGATTGGGATAATTTTTGGTACTGGTACTGGATATCCAAAGACATGTTGGTATGTAAAGATTTGATGATTGTGTCTCAGAAATTCCCATGGCTCATCAAACAGCAAATCATGTGTGGTCATTTCTTTGGAAGTTTCATCGCTTGAATGTCACGCGCTTTAAGTTTTGCCATGCGAAAGGATGGGTCCTGGGAAGTCCTGGGTGCAAACACTCCCAGAATTGGTTTGTGCGGATGCACAGGAACAGGTTTGGATGGTGAAAACATGTGAAAACCTAGGGGTTTTCATGGTTTTCAACTCAATATACTCAATGCACTTGGAAACCCCCTCATTTTTCCAGCTTGGGAGTTCCGGGGTGACCGCTTCCGACTCGGCCCCGAAGGGCCTCTGCAGCTTCAGTGGATCACATTTTGCAGGATCGAAATTGGCCAACTGAGACAGAATCTGATTATGTCTGATGATGTTTGATAAACAGCCAACTGAAAGTGAACTTAATCCCAAATTGAATGTATCCGTATTTACATGTAATCAGTGAGACTTTCTTCCAAAGAAACGTGAAACGACCCATTTTGCATACCATCGCTGCCATGGGGCGCAAACGCCATGCGATTGGGGCACCAGGGGATGATACAGTGCCATCCTCGGGGCCTAGGGCAATAGAGAACCACCATTTTGGATGGCTTGTTTTTTTCCAGGATGCCAATGATCCTTGCATAATGGCATCATATAGTTTCCAGTGATTTTTTTTGGGAAACTGATTTGGAATTTTTGGAATTTTGGGGTTACCGTCTTGTCCACCTTATTGAAGTGAAACCAATTCCAAGCCCACACCACTTTGATCCAAGTGGGGACATACATCTCCGAACCACATCTTAATATCGACCGCCAAACATTTCCATTTAACATCTGGTCCCTGTTTTATAGGGATTAGAGATGATTGTGAATGTAGATAATGCTTATATGAATTTTATGATTATGGTATATTATGATTATTTTAGCCCTAGAAATGGGATTTTCGGATTTTTTCTGAACCTAATCTGATTTTCACTCATAGATGGTATGGATTTGGAGATTTTCCCCCTGAGATTTCCAGGACTTGTTCCCCCCAGGTCTTCGCGGAAGCGGGCGATCCGCTTTTGATGGCACTCTTCCAGGGCGACGGAGATGGCGCGCGGCGCTTGCCTTGCCGGCGCTGTTAGGGTCATCTTGCGTCACGAAGCTCGAAACATATAAAAAAACAATGGAGTTTGATTGTATAATTAGTGGGTGGTCTACTTCTGGATTTGGATTTGTTCATTTGATTTTGTTACTTGAGGTAGTTTGTCGCATGGAAGAACGGTCGCTCCCAAGAAGTCGTTCAACACAGCAAAACAAACAGAGAGGTTTCAGAGGAAAAAAACACCAAAAAACGCGTTGTTTGCGACGTCAAAGATAAAACACACATGGAGGTTTAACGGTCTTTAACTGTGTTTTCATGCGCATTTTTGGGCGAAGATGGACGCAATGGGCCAGGATTGAGTCTGGCAGTGACATCGAGGCCGCCGGTTTGCAGTCACATCATCTTTTTGTTGAATCTCTATATATACCCCTCACCCCTCAGTAAATTCACATGCGATGAAAACAGTTTGCGAGCCTTGGCAGGCGGCGGATCACATGGGTTGGCGGCCCTTGCATCGCGCATGCTTCGCTGGCTTGTCGGAAGTGGCAGGCGCAGAGGGACCAGCTGGATGACATTATGATCATTATGGGCTGAGGGGGTTTCCCTATAAAAGTCATGATTAAACTATAAGTTCATAATGTCAAAAACTTATATATTTATATAAGCAATTCTAAGCAGAATTAAATGATGATATGGGAATTATGGGAATGGGTCGAAATCCATCATCTGCCACTTCAATTTGATGAAGATTAGATGGTGCTGGCTCCTGGGAAAGATGTCAAGGTCTGCTTCTGCAGAAACGTGCCGATCCATCTTCTGTTACTGGGCGCTCGGTTGTGGTCGTGGAGAATTGACGGAGCTTGGCCGTGGACTGTTGGATTAGAAAGAAATTTGGGTATGGGTCAATACCTATAGATACATTTTTAGTGGGATGAACATTCATTTACCAGCTATTTTGGGGTTCACTAGGTACCAGGGTTTTGACCCATCCCCATTTGAGAAACCCTGGTGTTGTCAGGTCCCATGTGATTTGCATTACCTCTTGATTTGTTTTGTTTGTTCTCAACTACCTTCGACAACCATCAAAAGTTGGTGAATCGAAAGCGACATGGTGATATGAATACCCAAATTACAGGACATTTGCAGTCATGTTGATCATATCTAAAAAAATCATCTATCTATAGCTCTATCTACATGTAGCAAGCACTGGAAAGCTGCCCATCCAGCTGTGAAAAATCTCATGACTGAGGCTGATACTGATGGTTTGCAGCCCCTGCATATCGCAGCAGCTGGTGGGTCCTTGGATCTCAATCCTTGGATGGTTTGCAGCCCATGACGGATCCATGGTGCTGCTATATTAATGGTGCTCCATGGATCCCATCAATATACCCCCAAATAATGTTAGTATGGAAAGTTCAGTTGAAACAACCAAACCAACAGACAAACCACACTCTAAGTTGGATGTCCTTTCGGGGGAAACACGTGCAGGCACCCAAAGTCCCACAAAGGTTTTCATCAGGGGCAAGCGTAAGCTCAAGGGCCCTTTGGCCAAGTTGATCCAACAGCGGCGGTGAGCAGCATGGAGTTTTGACCTGGCCAGGGCTTCCAAGTAAGTTGTCAGCGACAAATTCACATTGGAGGAAAAGAGTTGGTCAAAAACAAGCAGCGTTGCTTGCAACCATTTGCTTCATTTCAGCTGTGGGTGAACATATTCAGCCAGTAGTTGTCGGCACGAAAGTTTCAGTCAGCTGTTGCACATGGAAAAATTGCATTGCATTCATCGGCAGGAAAATTCCAGTCTGCCGGGCATATGTAAAAACTGTATTTTGCAAACTGTTGTATGTAAGGTTAAGGATGGGCACTATTCCAATCCATCCATCGCTTGCGGATGGGAATTGTTCCAGTCCATCCATTGTTCCAGATCTGTCAGCGCCAACCGTGCTGGTATTGATCCATCTCGGCAATTTCCTTCTCACGTCTCTCTTCGCATTCCTTGCAGACATACATAGTGATGGGTTTTGCATGCATCAATGTGTCGCAGTCATCGAAGAGGTGGAAGCGATGTGCCTTGTTGAGGGCGTAGACCTCTCTGCGGAACTCGATCTCGTGGTCGTGGAGCTCGCGCATGTTTGCATTTGCTTGGTTTGCTCGATCCAAAGAATCTTGAACGTGGTAAATCTGTCGTTCCAGTTCAATCACTTCTTGAATCTTTGCTGTCAAGGTTTGTTCAACATCTTGAAGTCGTACTTTGAGAGTTTTGAGTTCACTTAAGAACTTGTCGGCATCCTCCTTGTTTGTGTCGCTTGTATCTTTCATCACCTGCGCATAGCTTTCCAGTGTTTCGATCTCCCTTTTGAAGCTGTCTTCCAGTCTCGCCTTGTCTTGTTGTTCAAGGTGTAGCTGGTAGGACATGTGAGACATCTCCTCGTACTCGATCTCGCATTGAACGCTGTTGTTGCGCTTGGCAAGGTTGAAGGCCACGCGCTTTGGTTCCAGTTTGAGTACCTTTGGAAATCCAAGCAGCATCCAAATACAGAAACATCCAGTGAGGAAAGACATCACCATAGTCACAAATAGGCGCATTGCATCATCGGACCATGAGGCTTCATCGGAGGAAAAACCAGTGACGGGCATGATATGAGAAATGAAAATCAGATGAGCTAAACCACCTATCTTGCTAGCAGCTTTTGAGAGGGCAAACTTGCGGGCATTTGCTTCTCTTTGTTGTTGAGTTTTCTTCTTTGCAGCAACAAAATCTTCATCCGCTTGCAATTTGAACATGTGAGTTCTAAGGCGGTCAGTGAGCAACTGACGTGCTGAGGGTTTGGTCATGCCATCAGCATACTGTGCTTCACTTGAAACCCATCGCAAAAGTGTTTGGCACTCTTGCATCTTTTCTTTCACAATCATCACCTCAATCTTGGTTCGTTTGTCACCTGAAAGCTGGGGAACTTCTGCACGAATTGAATCATACAGAGCTTTTGCATCAACCACCAAAGCTGTTTTGCTGATCACCCATTCACCTGGAGATTGCAGAGTGTAGTCAGCATTGAGACATCCTTGGATCAGTGTTCGGGTATATTCCAAACTATCCATTGCAGCTGCGCATGCTTGAGATTCAGCGTTCAAAGAGCTTCGGGACACCCTGGGCAAACGAAAACTTCTCCAATCCAAAATGATGTAATTTGTGGTTTCACCATCCAGGATTTCTTTCGGAGCAAGCATGAGAAGGTAACCACCTTGGCTGTGGCCTTCCCGTCGAATTCCCCATGAGGCATCGCTCATTGCAACCAAAACCATATTTGAAATCTCCCCTAAAGGACGAAATTGGAGTCCAACATCGTTGTTGACCTTGGAGAATTTCAGAGCTTTGTTTGCATCACGTAAATCTTCAGTTGTAGCAGCTGTGATCTGACCACTGAGGAGAGAAACTGTTGCACCAAGTTGTGGGGCTGTTTGCGTGCTGGGCCATTGAAGCGCACCAAGCACCGCTCGGAGAGCACTAACCTCATTCTGTGTGGCCATGCTGAGTCTCGGCGCTTCGGGTCGATGGTGATCGGCTTGATCTTGCTAAAGTAGTCAGGCTGTCCCAGTTGATAACCAAAGGAGGTTTTCACAAACGAACATCCACAAAAATCAAGCTTATCACGTTCATCAATGTGAGTCCAGTGTTTGAAATTGAACTTTTCACGCAACAACTTCTTGGCTGAATTGTAGCAGGCATTGTGAGGGTCGCCACTAATCAGCATGTCATCTACGTGTAATCCAACCAAACAACATAAATTTCCTTCAGCATCATGCAGTCTGAACAAACAACCATCCAGCTTATGCTGGGTGAATCCAACTTCTTCCAGTCGTCGTCTGGCGACTTGGTACCAGGCTCTTGGAGCATCTGCCTGGCCATAGATGGGCTTGAGGAGGCGCATCAAGGAGTTGGGTTTGATGTTCAGCAACGTGCAGGCATCTCTGGGGAGTTTGCACCATAGTTCACGGGCTTGTTGGTCTCCCTGCAGAAAGGCTGTAGCCACATCGGCACATAGAAACTCCCATTGGTTCAAAACACCAATGGACAGCAGTACCTGTCTTGACGTTCTGTTCAAGGTTGGAGAGCTTGTCTCTAGGCTACCAGATAGCAGGTCGGGATCGGAATATCCCTGCAGCACAAGTCTAGCTTTGGCTTTTGTGCCACCTTTACCATCATCTGCCCATTTGAGAACAAAACGTGCTTTCAAAATGCGGCTTTCTGATGCTTTCTCAGGCTCAAGTTCAAGTTGCCAAACTCCATTCTCAAAAATTGATTGCAGCTCGGCCTTCTTTGCTGTCATGAAGGTGAGGCGGTCTTCAACTGTCATGCGGGATTCTTTCAAATCAGCCTCGTTGTCCTTCTTCTTTTTCAAAGGGCGAGTTGCAGCCATCCAGACTTCAGAGGGTGAGTTTTCCATGGAGCCGGAAGTGGACTTACTGATCTTCTTCTTGAGATTTATGTATGGCATCTTGAGCTTTTGGGCAGCTTCTTTGGTGAGAGGAAACAACGTTTTTCCAAAGAAACCATCCTTGCTTATCTTTCGCTCGGCAGCAGCAACAGAGTCAACCATCATAGTTGAGGCACCTTCACGCATTGTGATTTTCAGGGCTTGCAAGTCTCCCAACTTAATGGGGACATCTTTGATGGCATCGGCAGTTGGTCTCCATGAGGAGTCACGTGCAATGACATGATTTCGGACCAGAAAACCTTCTTCAACTGACCAAAAGTCTTGGGTCTTGCCAAGGACAAAGGAGTTGGAGACTTCATCATAGGTCCAACCATCAGGCAACATGTCACCTGCAAACTTGTTGTGCTCACCATTGGAACTGTAGAAACCAACTTCGACACTGTTGTAGATCCTTTGGCGTTTCTGCTCAGAGTCATTCTTTGGTTCATCCAAGGGTCTTCTCTGACGCTGGAAGTTTCTGAGCCAGGCCATTTCTCCTTGATCCATGTTACGGCGTCTTTGTTGGAAATTGGTGTTGCCACTGTCAGCAGGCAAAGTGTTAGCTGCTGCAGCTGGCTGGTCATCGTTGGCAGGCAAGGTGTTAACTGCCACGTTCTGACCATCTTCAACTTCAGAATCATCGCTTGGAACAGGAGGTAGATCTTCGTCTGCCGGCATCTCATTCTGCGGAATTGCAGTGGTGTTAGCATCATTGTTGTTGGTGTTGGGCTCATCATTGTCGGCAATCACTGTCTCGGCAGGAGTTGTTGGAGCATAGGAAAATGGAGAGTCAGGAGGTTGTTCAAGTTGATCGATTTGGCGATCCATTTGCTCGATTGCGTCATGGAACTCATCAGCATCAGCTGGGCTATCCAAGATCTCAATATCATGTTCCGTTGCAGCATCGTCAGCAATCGGTCCAGGAGATTCTGGTGGAGCTGGGTCATGCATTTGAAGTTGATGTGGAGGAGTGCCATGTTTGCGCTGTTTGCGGTTGTCGTCCAAGTCAAAGTCAGCATCATCTTCATCTAACTCATCCATTGACCTCTTGTTGGTTTTATGAAGGTCAATCAGGCGGACAACTCGTCGCTGTCGTACTTGGCGCATGGCATCCACAGGAGAAGACATTCGACCTTCAGCATCAACTAAACGTTTCACATGATGTTTTCCAGCTCGAATCAGCACTGTTCCATGAGCAAGCCAGTATGTGTCAACATTGCCAGTGTCGGGGTCAAGTTGAACTGCGACCACAATGGCAGGACCTTTCCACTTGATGGTGTGGAAGCGATCCGTTGACTCACGCCAGTAGAGGCATCTTTCACCAGCGACCAGTTCTTCATCTTGGCCACGATACTGACGCAACAAGGCTCTTCGCAGTCGGACGTCAACATCAGCTTTGGCACATGCTTGTTGGGCTAGAGATCGGCACTTAAGGATCTCCTGAAGGTGTTGACCTTCAGACAGCTGTGGAGGCTTCGTGCGCTCTTCAGACATCAGTCCAGGAACAGCAGGTTGTCGACCCATTGCAAGTTGTGTGGGTGTAAAGCCGTTCACAAAGGTGTGCTCGTTGAGGGAGGGCACAACCCAGTTGAGAGCTTCATGCAAGGCATCCACTCCAGCGATCTCATTGTCATCCATGTAGATTTGAACAGCACGCCGTAGCAGTTGATGTCGTCTTTCAACAACGCTCGTTCTTGTATGAACTTGTCCAGGAGAAATCTTGAGCTCAATGTCATGGTTTTCTGCCCAGGTTGCAAATGCATCAGATCCCCATCCAGCATATTCATCAACTTTGAGTTGCATCGGACCATGGAACCTAATCCAGGAACGTTCCAACGCTTTGATCAGTGAGGGGGACTTTTCATCGGACACAATGCGGGCAGCCATGTATCGAGTGCATTCATCAACCATTGAAAGAATTGCCACACGTTTCTTCTTGTCAAGTTCAATCCACATTACATCAGCTTGAACCACTTGGTTGAAGTTCTCAGCACGTTCAACTGAGGCAGGGGATACACCCTTCTTGATGCCGTAGTTTTGGCAATGGGGGCAGTGCAGAGATTGGATTGCTTCTCTGACCTTCTCACTCACTTGCTTGCCTTCAAGCAACTTCAGCAGCACTTCTTTTCGAGGATGGCCCAAGTTTCTGTGAAGACGATGGGCGACTCGAGCTGCGTGAGATCCATGCGCCGTAGCCAATTGTCGCAAAGTGCCAGTTTCAGCATCATCAACTGCATAGATCTGTTGAGTGAGATCCTCGTCATCCATGATGGCTTTCGCCAGATGTTTTGCCAAAACAACGCCATAGTTTTCAGCTTCTCGACATCGTTGACCACCACCAGGCATAGAACCTTCTAAGGGGCAGTGGGTGTGATCACCTTGACATCGGCGGTTCATGAGCTTGTACATGGACATCTTGGTTGTTTGGATACGTGTGGATTTCTTGATTGGCTCCTGAAATCCATCATCATTGATTGTTGTGGCACCATACTCGCACTGATCAAACAAGGCAGCATAGCCAGGAAGAGTGGAGAAGGCTTTGGTCTTCCAGGCACGGCTTCTCTCAGGATGCTCAATGTGAGCGTGTCGACCTGCTCGTACCTGTTTCCAGTAGGCCTTGTGACACATGGACAAGTGGGTTCCATGGTCAATCTCACGTCGTTCTTCCAAGTCAGCGGCATCAGCAGCACATTTGATGTTGATGTTTTGCATTGGTGACCACAACGTGCACTTTGGGGACATGAAAATTTCATCAGGCTCATCGGTGTCGATCTTGTGGAGAAATGCTCTGCGGTGTGTGCTGAGTGAAAAATCCCAGCCTTCATTCAAACCAAAACGTTCAACACGAGCACCAAGCTTTGAGACTTCGGTCGAAAGGCGACCTGCTCCAACGTAGACTTCCCAAACAACGGGTGTTTTGGCTCGAGATCCATCTCTGGCCATGTGAATCATACCTGAGACTTGGTTGTGCACTTCAGCGGCTTGTTGATTGCACATGTTCTCAAGTTTCTTCACCGTGCATTCAGGCAAGGAAATTGCTTCTGGGAAAGCATCATCATCGGCTTGGAGGATTTCATCGCTCATGTTGGGTTCTTTGGCATTGGTTTGCATGAAGTTCTGCACCACTTCGGTCATTTGGGCATAGCGACTTTCAGCATGCATGTCTTTCAGAAAGCTAGCCATAGTTTCAACCTGATCGTGATCATCATCTTCACTGATGAGGTCGAACTGAACATCCATGAGTTCTGAGCCATGTTTGACTCCATCAGCCAATTTCAACAGCATTGCACCACCTTTTCCGCGGCGGATTTCTTGCCAGTCACCACCCAGTAGGCTCATCCTTTTACCACCAAAATCAACCACAGCATTCAGCATTTCCAGAATTGGGCGACCTAGCAGCATAGGAGTGGCACCGAAGATCACAAAACATTGAATGCGACCAACCTTGTCACCTAGCTTTGCAGGCAATTGCACCATCCAACGGCTGACACTTTCACCAGCACCTCCAAACTTGAAGCTTTTGTCGCAACGTTTGAAGTGCAAGTGTTTCACATCCATTCCAATCAATTCCAGCCATTTCAGATACCTCAGCACGTATTCAGAACCAGCTAAAAACGTTGAAGCACCACCATCCTGTATGCAAGCATCAGGTTCTACGGTAACCCAACTATTGCTGTCGGAAATCACATGCTGAGCCATTCCAACGAAATTTGCACTGGAGTCAGCGGGACGCTTCTTGCTCGGTGAAGTGCTAGAGCTCTTGGTGGGGCAATTGGCGGCCATGTGACCGAACATTCCACATCGCAAGCACATCATTGAAGACATATGTTCACCCCTTTCTTTGATACTTGACATACCCTTTTTGGGGGAACCTAATCCCTTTGAACCTTTTGATCCCTTTTTGCCTTTTGACTTACCCTTTGACTTCCCTTTTGAACCAGTCCTGGAAGGCGATTGACTTCCGGAGGCTGAGGAGGAAGCAGCAAGTGGAAGTTGTTGACCACCAGCGACTGCAACCACAGGGAAAAATCCACGAGAAACTCGGAGTTGATTCAGCTGACGTTTGCTGTCAGCGTATGCAGCATAGACTCGGTCAAACTCTTCGGTATCAAAAACTTCGTCATTTGCAGGCATATCTACAACTGTTGAGCCATAGTAAGTGGATTGCACATCATCCCATTCCTCTGCTTGCCAGTAGAGTTCATCTCCATCATAGTCAATTGGGTTGCCATCATCATCATAGGCAGTGTCATCAGGGTATTCTCCATCATCTTCATAGTACACCTCGTCCTCGGCAAAGTGGGCACGGTCAGTTTTCCATCGACCACGCATGTTGTTGAACTTTGCAGGGGAGGGCACTTTGTGATTCTGGCCAAGGGTGAGGTAGAGCGCTTTCTCAACCTTCTCAACCGTTGTTTCTGTTCCTACTGTTGTTTGAATCAGCTGTGTTTGCTCTTTTGTCAGACCAGCTCTGCGCATCAGCAACCATCCAGCAACTTCATCTGGGAGTGTCACCTTGTATTTTGACAACTCTCGCAAGGCTTGTCCAGATTGTGTGCAGTAGTCCAACATAGTCTGATTCATGGTGCGGTAGGTCTTGTAGAAATACTTTTCGAAGGCTTCTGGCATTTCGATTTTTGCATCGTACTGCCACTGCGCGTCTAACCTGTCCAGAATTCTTCCCAGTCCATCGGCCGTTTCTAAATCCTTGACTTCGAGGTCTTCGCATTGACGCCAGGAGGCACCAGTTAAAGTAGACAAAACTGAAATCCCTACTTCAGACTCTCGTTTTTGAATGGCCATGCGTCTTGCATATAGCTGTATCCGCTTGCGCCGTTCCTTGTAACCAGCAGTTGTATTGTCAAACCGTGGTATGAAGGTGTCCTTTGTGAGGGTCTCCGCAGTGTCACTAGTTCCAGTGGCCATGGCTTTCAGCAACGGTTTGGATCACTTAAGATCCCCGGAGCACTTAAGCTCCGCCTACCAATATGGAAAGTTCAGTTGAAACAACCAAACCAACAGACAAACCACACTCTAAGTTGGATGTCCTTTCGGGGGAAACACGTGCAGGCACCCAAAGTCCCACAAAGGTTTTCATCAGGGGCAAGCGTAAGCTCAAGGGCCCTTTGGCCAAGTTGATCCAACAGCGGCGGTGAGCAGCATGGAGTTTTGACCTGGCCAGGGCTTCCAAGTAAGTTGTCAGCGACAAATTCACAGTTAGCATTAATATACCAGGTATCCTATGGATCCGTCATGGGATAGGATTTGGGCTAAAAATCAAAGTCCAACAGAACTAGGATTTGAGCCTTCCTGACGGAAAAGCCATGAAACACCTGTTGGACTCCGACAGAAGTTCTCCGAAAAACCGAGGCATTTGGAATGCTGTCGCCATTTGTTGAATGCCAATGCCGACCCCCGCGCGCCGGACAGGCAAGCAATACATATCTTGATATCATCCTATATCGACTTTCTTCCGGATCGATGATTTCTCCCATTTCTACTTACAACTGACCCTTGAAATCGGTCTGGAAAATCACGCTGTGTAAATTGTGTGGATGCAGGTAGATACCTTGGATTCTGAATCCATTGGGTTGCATCGATGGCCATATATCTTCACATCTTCACAATGAGTTGCAGACAGACATTGTGTGCACTTCTAACCAGATAGACATTGGATGGTCGGGCGACCCGCCAGCTACAGATTTTCGCGATGTCAGGTATTCTGGCATGACGCCACAGATGCATGCCCTGACGAAGGCCGGGATGATTATCCCTTGCAGGGCCCCTGTTTCTATCAGTTGAATATCGATTCATACAGATCTTCATAAGATGTTCAACTGATCAGTATTGTGAATATATTATGATATTTTATGATTCATAGTTTTTCATACTGTATTGTGAAGATACATATTTTCATGATCAGGTTTTAGGATTCATATTTTTTTCACACAAATAATTTGGTACTCGATGGCCCTGATGGCCTCACATGTAGCGCAGCATTGGGAGGTTGGAAGCCGCAGGTGACTCGCTATGGGGTCCAATGCTCCTACCTTCCATCAGTCCTATATGGGTATAGACGTATAGAACATGTTCATATATATACATATATACATATATACACATATATATATATCTCCAAAAATGGCAGAGAAGCCACACATCCCATTTGATTGGGTATTGGCTTTGTCTGAAAATGGGATTAAACTCCGCATGGAGTTTGATAGGATTTTGATAGGGAACATAACATTTGATGGCATTATGAATGATTTTAATCTGTTTAAATCCTCTTACCCTCTGGCAATATGACATAGACATAGCTATTGAAAATGGTCCATGTATAATCATTTATAGATGATTTACCTATTGAACATGGTGATGTTCCAGAGATACGTTAAATCATCAGAGAGCTTTTTAATAGGATTTTTCAATAGGGAACATCACATTTGGCATTTTGCAGTCATGATTTCGATCAAAGTTCACTAAATTCCATGTCAAATATGATTTCATCATTGTGAAATTTGATCATGCTAATTCACGAAAAAAATCATCATGGTTAATAAAGTTAAGCATTTCAAACAGTCAAACATTTTCCATGTGGTGAAATTCCCATGGGATTTTTTCATGGTTCACCATGAATGGATTGTTCCCATTGGTCCAACTTGTGGGGCCAGGATGATGCCAATGGTGTTGCTTTACGGGAGCTCTTGGGAGAGTCGCTGTTCTGAAGGTTCAAAGACGCATGCCAAAAAAGTGGGTCCTTTTAATACCAGTAGGTTTGGCACATATATCACATGTATATATATATATTTCTATCTATAATTTATATATCATAATACATATATATACATCTATCTATACATATAGATATACATACATAATAAGAATATATATATATATAATATATACACGTATAACTGGTATATCATGGACATTCATGGACATGAAATTAGTACAGTTAACCTTCCTTCTTTTTCCTGTTGTTTTGACTGGGGGGGTTGGTGCTATTCCATAAGCCCACAAGCGACGATGTAAACCTTGACAAAGACATGGCAGCAGCAGTTTTCCAGCCAAATCCGATAGTTGATCATGATTTTCCCCATTAAAATGGCAATAAAGTGCGGATATGCCATGATGCCTAAGTTTTGAGCAAACTCATTTGGTCTAGTGACTTCTTGCAGTTGGAACAACGTCGTCCGTCCATTTAAGAGCTAAATTAGATTCATGCCTTTCATTGGAATCCAGGCAATTGTTTTTTCTGCAGGGAGATGCACAGGCTGAAAAATCGGAAGAACAATACGGAGATAGTCTCAAATTGCTGGTATAGCTAGATGTTTGTTTCCCCAGTCACATAGTAATCATTAATCATCCCCCATATAGTAATCATTCCCCATTCATATAGTAATTTCATGGATAACTTATGACCCATCCAAATCATCCACCATCGAATCGGCCTTTTTTGAGGCCCAACTTGTGCCTCTACGCTGCATGGGGAGATCCCCTGGCAGTGGCCAAGTTTCTGGGACGTGCAGATGATCCCATGATTGGTGGCTTTTTTCATGTGGGTACCCTCTGGTAAACATACAAAAAACCATGGAAAATCAGCATTTTTCATAGGAAAATCAACTATTTCAATGGGCCATTTTCAATAGCTTTTTGTATGTTTACCAGAGGGTAAAACAATGCCATTTGCACGCACCATCTCCCAAAAACTGAGCATTTTTTGGTTGGTGGTATAAACTGACCATTCCCAGGGAAATGGGTGTGGTAAAAATGACATTGTTTCACCCGCATTTGGGATCTGCCAGATGAATTTGGTCTTAAGCAGTTGCAACCAGTTGCTATTGAAAAACAATCTCCACACATGGTGTTTTTTCGACACTGAAGCTGGGTGCACTGAGTCTTGGGAAGGTTTCAAGCAGTTTGTCTTTGAGATACATATCACCTACAGGTACCAGTAGCTGCACAACAGTTTGAAGTTGGAACTTGATTTAGTTGTATCATAGCTATTCCCATATGCTCCATGTATGGAATATTTGCCAACATTTACCCCATAAATGGCCCAGTCATGTAGGTAAATATACTATACATGGAGCATATGGGATATAAATTTGAAGGGAACACCATGAAGACTCGCAGATGTTTAGCGTTTCGTCAGATGGCCGTGGCGATGTCGTTTCGTGGTTTTTTCCAGTGATTCCTCAGGCATATCGCCGATGCACCGGAGGACGGTTAAGGGAACACACATCAAAATCATCAAGGCACATGGATCCAAATGGTATTATATATTGTATAGTACTAGCGCGTTTGTAGCTTCAAAATAGATAAACAATGTTTTGTTCCTAAGTGATACATGTTGAAACAGAGATTTGGGCTTGTTTTTGACCACATATTCTTTCTGGAGAGTGTTGTATTTAGATCAACTGATACATGCTACATGGGCAGGTTTTCCATTGATGTTACCTGCCCTTTTTGGGAATTTGGGACATCCTCAGGAGGAAGCGAAAGAAGTTCAGAAGGCCATCGTGTCGCTTGGCCGGTTCACAGATTCCATTGGTGAATGAGTTGATGATGGGTTTGTTTGAAAACACGGTACCATCGGTACCCCAAAAGACCCCAAATGGCCATGGGTAAAAATCGATGTCTATCATCTGCCCATTCAAAATGGCCAGCTGGGAGGTTTTTTCAGACACAGCCAGATCAGCTTTTCCGATCAGCCAGCTGAACAATGCTAAACCAAATTGGCCCCTCCATGCTTTTCCAAACAGGAGATCATTGTTCCATTGAAGCTCTCAAGTCAGGTATGAAGTGGCATTGCAGTTGACCAGCAGACCAGATTCAGATGGAGACATGGTAAAGTCATGGAAGTCATCTGAAATTCATCGTAGATCCGAACCATTTGGTTGGATTTTGTTCCCCATACTACAGTACTGGTTGTACCCTGGGAATTTCAGGTGCCAAGAAGCAACTTGCTCAGTACCTGGTTGTGACAAGACGACCAGCCTCAGCCTCAGATGTTCGCATCCTGAAAGTGTGTCAAGAGTTGAAAGAAGCCGAACGCCGGGAGTGTTTCGGTTCCAACCATGCGCAGGTGGTTGTTGGTTGGTTGGTTGGTTGGTTGGCTGGCTGGCTGGCTGGCTGGTTGGTTGGTTGGTTGGTTGTTTGTTTGGTTGGTTGGTTGGTTGGCTGGTTGGTTGGTTGGTTGGTTGTTTGGTTGTTTGTTTGTTTGCTGCTGCTGTTGCTGGTGCGGGGAGGTGGGGGAGGTGGGGGAGGTGGTGTATGAGGTGTTGGTGATGGTAAATCCTTTGTTACCAGCCATGCATTTCCCGCTGTTTCGGAATGTTTTGGCGTCGATCAGGCAGATCAAAAGATCCGCCGAGGTTGCGAACACCGCTCGCAAGCTGAGCAGATGACCCCTTTAGATGAAGTCGATTGATCTGCTGGCTGGTGACCTGCAGATCGCGCGCAAAAAGATTGGTCACTGGATCAAGAAATGTACCATCAATGACGATAATGACGATGCGATTTTGAGACAAGTACACTGGTACACTTCAGTATTTTGATAATATATATATATATTTGTGGTTGGGCTTGGATCCCTTTTAGAATCTTTATAGATCTTTATCGGTAGGTTTTGAAATCTGCTCATTATATCCTCATTGTATCACCGGCAGGTGGCAGACCGACTGCGGCTGATGCCGCCGCATTTGCAGAGCGAGGTGATGCGTCGTGGGCCACTGGACAGTCGGCCGGGGGACCCAAGGGTTTCATGCGGTTTCATGCGGTTTCATGCGGTTTCTCATGGCTACAAAATGCTACAAACCCCCATTGGCTTCCACCTTCGACGCTGGCTACAGACACAGCATGACACAGCATGACAGTTTGGAGTTGGAAGTTTTGAGAAGGTTTCTTGGGGTCAAAAACTATCAGTTGATGGTGTTGGACTAATGTGGTAAGTCCAATGCCACCGTGTTGCAGTTATCTGATATCTCCAGCTACCCAATTTTGTTTTTTTGGATGACATTACTGAAACAATACCAGATAGGAAGCTTCATTAGATGCTGGGTCCACCTGGTTTCCCTAATTTCCCAAGTGTTCGTGGGAAGAGTTTTTCATCAGAGTTTTCCATGTTGTTCGCGGACAAGGAGTCCAACATCTATGTTGCTGAGCCGCATGAAGCAGGCGCAGCTGTATTAAATCGCCACAGATATGATGTATATGATGTATTATATATATAATATATATATAATATATAATATATATAATATATATATACAGTATATATATAATATATGTTTTGGATGGGATTTTGAGGTGTAAAACTCACGGGATATTGATGGATGGGACGTGTCATGGGACGTGTCGGACAAGTCTCGCCAGCATCAAGTTGATCGACATGGGACTAGATGGCAATGCCTGGAAAACTCTTGCGTGCAATGTTTGGGTGAGAAAAGGGTTTGATCAAATTCCATATTCATGAAGTTTGGCATAACACATTGAAAAGTGGTTTATCATATCATCTCCGGTAAAGATTCGTGATCCATTTCTATCCATTTCTTTCATCTCTCGAAGCATTTGTGGCATCCCAAAGTTTGGAAGTCATTAACAACATTCTTGTTTGTCACCTCAAAAACCCGCCAAACTGCGGCAGGTTGTTACAACCAAGTTGTGGTAACTTTTATTACCAAAGAAGTTGTGGCACCGCGGCACCATGTAAATTCTCGTAATGTGATTAATGTGGTGCTCCTGCCATGACGCCAATATAAGCCAATAACCCAATGACTCACCAGAAATGATGAGAGGTTTATGGCAGCTTTGCCACCTTTCCTAGTTCGATTGGTGATTTGAAATGTGAAACCACCAACACTTGCTGGTTCACCGGAATGAATCACGTGGTGAACTAAGCAGACTTGGCTGAGATGTAGCACCAAGTAGTTAAACACTTAAACCATGTTGACCAGTTGTTGGTTAAAATCAGTTAACTCATATGTTTTTCACCAATCTGAGTACAGATAAACCATGTTATAAATTTATCAGAGTTTATAAGCTATGTATATCCAAGCTCATACGGATCATCAATTTTCAAATCGATCACAACACCATCCGCGCCATCCGCAGGCCCTTGAAGCGGATCGGAATGGAGAACTTCATCGAGGCGATGCCGACATGGAACAATTTGGAATTTTGTTGGATGATTTTTGTTGGATGTTGGATGATGTTGGTTTGGCTAAGAAAATGTGTCAGTTTTTTTGTTCCGGAATGTGTCAGATGTGCATTTTGTTCTGAAACAGAAACGCTGCGAATTGACCAGTTGGGAGACACGGATGCATTTCAGCGCTCAAGTTTGAAGGTTTGCACAATGCCAAGCCGCCCAACATGACAGATTTACTCCTTCAAATTCCTGAGTTTAACCAACAGTTAGCCGAGAAACTCTGGATTTTACCCTTTAGCAACTTGACTCATTGAAAACGGTTTCAGATGGTTTCGGGCCTTGAATACGATGATCCATTGAATCTATTGGGTCCAAAAAATAGCCGTAGATGGTAACAATTCAATCATATCCCTTGGCGATCATCATCTCCTACATAAGAATTAGATGATGTAATCTCCTGCATAAGAATTCGATTATGTGGGTATGGGTCAATACCTATAGATACCATTTTTAGTGGGATGAACATCCTTTTACCAGCTATTTTGATGTTCACCAGGGGTACAAGGTTTTGACACACTGCCATGTAAAGTCCAACAATATCCCATGACATCCCATGATGGTTTGAATCAACGAGATTTATAGGTCCATGGTCCAGTTGTGTCACCCCCGAAAAGTGGTCGCCATCCAACACGTTGTTTCCGGGTGGAGGAGCTGTGGCCCCTGATGCAGGGTAACAACCTCGGCGAATGGCGGAAGATGTGTATGGGAATATGGGAATGATATGGTAGAGCCACCAACAAGCATCAGCCTCCGGTTTTATTTAACGTAGCTATGGAACATGGCCCATGTATTTAGATGATTTGTGATATTTTGGGATGATTTCCCTACTACAAATTATGATTTTCCATGGGTATGTTGAAATACCAGAGGTTCACTGAAATAACAGCAATAAATATTTGAAACCGCCAGATAAATCTGTGATAAATCATATTTTGATAAATGAATTCACCATATCATTCGCTATATACGGCAACTAGTCACAAAGACTAGTTTCATTGATTTGCCGTACTATTTTAGCATGAAACGATATCCCATCAACTAATGCCATTCCCCCAGTATTGTACAGCCGCATTGCTGCCTGGTCCTAAATATATGTGTCATCCCCTACCTTTTTACATCTTTTTACCATGGTTTTCTAAAATTGGGGGTACCCCATGGTACCATCATCCAAGTCATTAGAGCATTGAAACCCATGGTGACTTGGTGGGGATCCACCATGACTTGAGAAAGCCCCAGATTCACTCTGAGGATGCGGCCGGTGAAGCAGACGACCAAAAACGCCATTGAGGTGTGAATTCAGTCCGGGATGCGTGAATCCGCTTGATAAATCGGTGGGCTTTTTCAATCTTTTTCAAGCATTGAACATAGTCTAAACCAGCAAGAAATCATGGTGGCGGTTTCATTCATATCCAATATGTCCATGCACCGGGCCGGCACCTTGCCCATTCCGAATCGGAGAATCCATGGATTCGGTTCACCTGGCGGAGTCTGATAAGAGATGGAGAAATTAAACATGGACTCCACTCCTGAAAGGAATGAATCCATCTGGGTACATTATAACGACCGAACCCTGTTCTCCCGAACCCTGGAATCATGGTTTATTTTAGGGGAATCATCCCAAAATGGCCCATAATTATTCAGGTGAACGTGAAATATTTTTTTATTTACCCAGATCCATGCTTACGAAACTTTCTAATATTTCTCAGATTTTTCTCATGCAAATGGGCATTTACCATTCACCGTGGTACGCTGCTTTATGGTTCCTTGGTCGACTTGTCTGTACCCCACTATCCCACCCCATTTTTGATCATCACACATTAAACTTGCCACAGTGTCGAATCCCTTGAGTCCCAATGGAAAGCCACACATTTATGTCCTAGTTGAAATAGGTTCACATGGGTTAAAACATGTTTTAAAAAGCAGTTTTTGTGGAATGTTCCCAAGCCAACCCAAACATTTTTGGCCGCCGGAAGTTTTCAGGCTTTGATCAGCGACTTTGGACTCAGCCCCGGCTGTTCCTGGATGCTTCGCTCCTTAACGCCGGACAAGTCGCGCGGTTGGGAACGACTGGCCGGGGTCGGTTCGGTCGTGATGGGGATGCGGATGATGATTATATGGTGATTATATGTATCCCATATGCTCCATGTATAGTATATTTACCTACATTTGGGCCATTTATGGGGTAAATGTTGGCAAATATTCCATACATGGAGCATATGGGTATACTAAGTACTAGCTGTGTGTGATACTATCCAATACAATGGGGGATTATCATAGTCCATGACGCATCATGAAGCGGGAATCCTGTTCTTAGCCTAACCAGTTGTTGAGGGAGCGACATTTCGGGTTTTTAACACTGCTCATGTGGATTTCGAGAGTGGACTGATCGGGAAACGCTGGGGATACCCTTCCGTAATCCTCATCAAAGATTTTGCCAGCGATCTAAAGCTCCATAATTCTTGTGGATTTTCCCATTGCCAGGCTTGGTATATCTTTTACAATTTCGTGGTTTCGTTCAGATTGGGAAGTCTTAGAGTCTTGGAGGTCACTTTTTTCGCCAAAAGATGTGGCTTTAGACCTGGATCCGGCTGTAAACAAATCCCTTTATTTTAGCATGATTATAGTAAAAATATCCCCATATATCCAACATTATCCAACCACTGAAGTTTAGTAGATGCTTTCTGAGTGTTTTTCCAGAATCCCTAGAAAAAATCAATCACCAAGGCAAAAGCTGGCGGCCAAGATCGACCCCACGGGTCAAGCTGATCCATCTGGGTGCCGCGACACGTCTTGTTGGGTCAGGGCATCCATGGTGAAGACCATTTTTTTGGAGTTCCTAGATCTATTTCTATTGGGGATTGGGTTATTTGCTTGGAATATTCATAAAATTGAAGTTTCCAGATTCTAGAATGCCCCGATTTTTTTTTATAGAGCACTTGGAAAACTGTCAGAATTGATTGCCGGAGGGTGCGGTTCTGGCAATTAAAAAACACCAGGGAGTTGATAGTCAAACCCAAACATGGAAGCACTACAATTTCTTACAACTATCAGGAAAGTCACTGTCAGAACAAGTTTCAACATGTTGGGGTTTCCACTATCCGAACAACCAGCAGGAGAATCACTACAACCAGCTCCGTGAAACGAGTGATGCTTTTTGTTGATCTGGATCCTGACGATGCCCTGGTGCTTTCAGCATCTTTCAGCATTTTTCACTTTTATCACGTTGATGTGATAAGACATTCCAACTTCCCCAATTTGGAGTGCTAGATGTTCTGGATTGCAATTCGGATTTTGTTGTGGAAAACCGAATTCCCATCATTCCCATCCACTTGGGAATGGTTGCTCCCAACCAGTTCTGGTTAGATTCGGAAGAGTTTTATAATTAATGAACTTGGGTGTACAAAACAATGGCATACATTGGCTTTGTTTGACAGAACTTGGCTGATCATATGGGCGTCCCCCACTATCATGGCAGGTATGTTGCGGAGGAATTGAAGAAAATTGTATGATATATGCGTGGAAAAATATAAGATAAAGAATAATCAAATCTTCTGAATGATTTTTATTGAGATCGATTTCGATCAAAAATTCAAATTATGTTTGATAAGTAATATATATATATAGTACATATATTAATTAATTTGATAATATAATATATCCGATTGCACGGATAATATTTGGAAAACATCTAAAAAAATAATCGGAATTCTTCTTATATCTTTGATATTATTTTGCGATGATTAACTATGATATAATAAAATCCATTATTATTATCATCAATACATGTGTATATATGTATACATATATATATATATATTAATTCCATAAAAACAAAATGATATTTAAAGCTAATATTTATTAATTAAGTATATTGAAAAACACACATAATATATATATATATATTGGCAAACTTATACGTTTCTAATAGAACATATAGAATTATTTGTGCTTTATTTTTATATATTTTTGAAATCAGTTTTGAAAAAAGTTCGAAAACACATATTTTAAAGGAAATCATTAAAAACATATAATATATATAATTAATATATTTAATATTATATAACAAAATTATGGTTTTGTCTATGCTGTCTTACTCAAACGTCCAGTGAGACGCAAAGTCCTAACCAGTTGGACTACAGGATCGTGGAGGACGCAAGTCCTAACGGAATGACATTGATGAGGTTGACCCCAGCAACGGTTCAGAACAGCACCCAATCCCGAGAAGAACATGTGTCGCACATGTTATTTGGTGGGCTATTGAGGAAAAAAATGGTAGATGTCCCTTCATACTTGTTTTGCCTTTCCATCGTGCGCACTTACTACCGCAGAAGCTGGTTCAACTGGAAATATGCAATGGAAAACAACACAGTGTTCCTGGACATCAATGAAGATTTCGAAGATTTCAAAACAAAACATTCCAGGTCCCGACCGGTAGAGCTTTTCTTAACACGGCCTTTCGAAAGCGACTCCGGATGCTCAGCATGTTCACCTCAGTTGACGAGCCTGAACCTCAGTGTTTCAACATGTTTCAACAGTTGATGAATGGCAAGCAAACACGGTGTCTTCAGGGCGAAGCCGTTTCGAACGGAGGCCGCTTGGGTCGTTCAAGGGCGGCCGGTTGAACATTGCAACCATGGTGAGTTCAACCATGGCCGACTGTCGGAGGCTGCCAACACCCTGGAGCAACATTTGCATTTCATCGACCAAACAGGACTGAAGATTTGGTGAAATACCATCTGGTTATGACTAACAGACATAGCAATGGTATAGATGGCCCTAATCGAAATAGATGGTTTACCTTATTAATAGCATGGTGATTTTCCATGGCAAACTGTGAATGTCATAACCAGATGGTAATATGAAATTCCTCAAATTTCTCAATATCAGTGTGTCAATTCTTGGCAATGGCATTCTTGCATATTTTTGGAATTTAGAGTCGCATCCCAATTGTTCAAATTTTCAGAGGACTTGTCGTGCAGATCATTGCGCACCGTTTGGATCTGCGTCCCAAACTCACCCTTTCGATTTAGATCACGAAAACAGTTGAAATCCAGTAGCATGTTGTTTTTGGCCAGGTTTATCATGTTTTTTTGCCGACAGACCGACTGAGGTGGACATTTTGATTGACGGACTGAGTGAAGAAAATGTGTAGCTTGGCTGCCAAGTCAGCGTTCAATGCGATGTTTTTTTTTTGGCAGCATTTTTATAACATTTTCTAAAGTTGGCAAAGATCATTATTTTAAATGATTTTCATTTATGGATCTTTAAATTTCCATATAATAATACATATACATAAGATTTGGGTAAATTATAACGACCTCACTGTTCTCCCTCACTGGAATCATGGTTAATAAGGGGAATCATCCCAAAATGGCCCATAATTATTCAGGTGAACATGACATATGATAATTTACCCAGATAAGATCCATATATAAAGATCTATGGTTTTTACACCGGGTATCGCAACTTTTTGTTGATGGAACACCCCAAAGATTCGCCCAGGAGCGTTGACCGTGCTGACCTGGTTCTGGCGGCCAGAGTGGGCTTAGTCGCTTCGGCGGAGCCGTGTTAAACAACGGGTTTTACTTTGAAAAAACCGTGAAAAACAGTGGAAGAAACATGTACTCCATTTTTCTCTAACCTCCTTTAACCTCCTTTAAGCTCCTTTAACCTCCTTTAATCAAGTTTGGTTGGATTTGTTGGATCGTTGAGAGCTTCAGCAAAGACATTGGCACCGCCAAGGATGTTGTGGCCAAAGATGTGGTGCCTCGGATGTTAGGAGACAGAAGCAAGTTGAGAAATTTCTCTCTCCGATTGGCAGATTTGTTCGCTATACAAATTATATTCTATGGCCATTTTGGTGGGAAAATGATAATCAAGCATGGGATCAACTGATGGATTTGGGCTATTTTTTTCACAATAAAAAATCAACATGACATCCAGATGCTGACACTGGATCAGGTTCGAACAGGGACCCTGCAGGCCTGGATGTGATGTTGTGGGGATCCTTATGTCGTGTTTTTGGTGCCCCTGCGGATTCCGCGGATCAGTTTCAGGCATCAACTCTCTTCTCAGAACAAGGCGCGCAAAGAGTCGCGGTTCATCGTGCTTCGTGTTTTGCAATGACTCAGAGACTGAATTCAGAACGGATCCATGGCCTCCGGTTGCGCAACGGTCGACGTCAGGTTGGGCGCTGCAACTCAGTGGAGCTGCTGAGTAGCGACCCCAGAGGATCCTCCAGGATGGATCCATCCGGTGTCAGTGATCACCTGGTGGCGATGGTCCTAACGAAAGTTGGGTCAATATCCCATGGTCATATCCATGTCATATCCATATCATCCCCATATAACTTGGCTGAAACATCACATCAGAGAAAGTCAACACATCCGAGGTGGGACACCCTCCGCTCTCATCCAAAGGTGGGAGCTAGGACTGCGCACTGAGTGAAAGGACCGGGGGTCCCAGTGAAACTGTTGGGCTGGCGATGGTGAAAAACGCCACAGAGTTTGGTGAATTTGATGTAGTAAAGAAATCCCAGTTTGGACAAGTTTGGACCTATCCCGATTTGATGATCTGATGATGTACAACCATGTACAACCCTTAGGTTGTTTCATGTTGTTTCATCTTGCTTTTTAAGCCTTCAGGCATGTCTGACTGCTCAGCATCTTTGACTGTGCTTCGAGTTTCTCCATTCATTTTCATTCATCGTCCTTCCTTGCTTCCCTGATCTTATATATAACGCCGGACAAACACTTGAAACCTTTTGCGCTGACAATTTAATTAATACTTGGACCTATCAAAACACACAGCTTAGAACCCTTCGAGCGTGCACTCAGAACCCATGAGGCAGACTGCCAATTCTGCCTGATATCACCAAGTGTCCACAACCATTGGAAACCCTCACAGATCGGTGATACACATGTTAACAGTACCAATAGTACAAAGGTTTCCTATTACTATATACCATCATAGGTGGGGAGAGCTGCATTTAGAACCTCCTCAATCACAAGCTACACTGATAGAATCTTCCCAAATGGATCCCTCGTCGTGGGATGGCTAGTGATCGATGCTCAGCATGGTCGTCAAAGAAGGTGATCTCTTTCAGACTACGTATGCTCCTAAAATAGCCGAGCATGTTTGTGGAGCATGAACAGTGCATTTTTCGGTGGCATTTTTGAAGATGTTCAACTTCATTTCTGGTCTGGCGAAACATAGACTGATTAGAATGGATTTGGACCATAGCCCATAGGATCCATGGTGCTGCTATATATGGTAACCTTTACCATATTTTACCATCAATATACCCCATTCATGTTAGCATATATACCAGCACCATGGATCCTATTTTTGTAGGGTGCCCAATTCCAAAGGAACATCATCATTTTGCAATCTTTTTTCCAAGGGCGAGGTCGGCAAATAGCCAAAAGTCCCATCGCCGCAAAAACCCAGGCCTTGCACCGTGCGCCGTGCTGGGGCTCTTGACACTTTCGATCAGGCCTTGAGTACCAAGGCATGCGGGGCATGCAGTTCCGCCATCCAGATCCATCCATGTACCATCTGGTTATGTAACATAGCTATGGTTAATCTATGGTTAATATATGGATAATCTATGGTTAATGGTTAATAGTTACCATCTGGTTATGACTAACAGACATAGCCATGGTTTTTCGATGGCCCTAATCGAAATAGATGGTTTACCGTTCTTAATGGAAAATGGTGATTTTCCATGGCAAACTGTGAATGTCATAACCAGATGGTATCCATTCCAAAGATGATGATTGAAGGTGATGATATCCATCAAATGTTGAATCATATCCATCATATCCATCATCTTGTATCCATCCATGTAACATGTTTCTTTTTGGATTCAATTTGATGGTTCCATCAGGCGGAGCCCAAATCAGCCCATTGCTCTTTGAATCTTGAAATCAATGGTTTTGGGGCAACCCATGGCGCCCCGATTTTAGAAACCCCCTATCTTGAGCTCTGCAAACTGCAGCAAGAAGTAAATCACGAAATCTGGTGCTCTCAAGTTCCAGCGCAGAACAAATTACCTTTGTGGAACAGTTTCTGAGTCCATCGGAGGCAGAGAAAGAGGACCATGCGATCCTGAACGGACTGCCTTTGAGCTTTCCTCCACGTTCGTGTGGTTTCAACCACTCTGGACGTTCTTCCATGGCTTCAGTGCACATGGTGGCTTCATTTGAAGTTGCTGACTCAGTGTGTCTGGGTATGTCTGGGTCCTTCAAAGTTGCAGATGCAATTACTGTATTCTTCCAGGGTAATCAGGTAATGAGGCCTGGTGTCAGTTTGTTTTTCAGGTGTTGTCCAACGTTTGTCCTTGCATGTTTTCTTTTCCTTGCTGCTTTTCTTCACAAAATCACCTACTGCATCCTACTGCGATTTCTGGCCTAGGCCATACAGAGTGGCAGATGCAGGAGCCAAGCTAGCTTTCTTTTGCAAGTGTCCTGAGTGAATTCCGAGGTGGGGAACGTCCCTTGAGTTCTATCGATGCAAGGGTGGTAATGCATATGCACAGAATGTCTTGACTGTCTTGACCAAGATGTGAGGAAATGGATGTGTCAGATACCTTGCAGGTGAGATCAATTGGCCAATAGGCCCAAAGATGATGAAAACCATGATCATTATCTTTGGCGGTCTTGCATTGACGGGTCTGGTTTCTTGGCTGCAGGAAGTATATTCAGGATAGTTGGGTTCGTGTCCGTTGAAGGCAAATTTGCAAATAGCACAGCATCTTTGTAGGATTTGCATGCAATTAATTGCAATTATGTGTTCTATTGTGTTCTTCTTGTTTGTCGTTTTTTGCGAATACGCAGCGTGGAATGGGTTGGTTGGGAAACTAAGGCTGGTTCAAAGCGGCAGGCATGCCCACTGGAGCAAGTACGAGGAAAGATGTGCCTTCGCCAGAGTTGTGACAGACATGAGGAGCAACAGATGCAATACCTTCCAGGACTAGGCCAATACTAGATCAGTGCATCAGATGTGGCGGGCAGAAGTTTTGCTTCACAGCTCTTCTTGTTGTCTTGGCGCTCGACGGTAGTTCCCTCTAGTTCCACTTGAGTCACTTGAGGCATCTCTTAGTCCTCGCGAGAAGGAGGAGCGGTCGTCCAGCAGGCGTGTCTATTCTGAGATGTTTTGAAGTTCAACACCTGCTTTGGCTACAAGATGTGTGAAACGCAGCGTCACCCGAGGATCACAATGTGAAAGAACCTCGATGGCTACGGCAACAATGTCCTCTGGACATCTCTTCTTCTCAAGTGGAAGGATGACCAACTGCTCTACGGGCTTGATATTTTTTGCTGGATTCCGTTCTCGCCAACATCTGCGTCAAGGCAATTCTTTGTGAGGAATTTCGATACGAGTCAGCATTCGACCAGAATCCAGAACTCTGAACTGGCAGTTGCTTCTTGTACTCTGCTCTGGAGGCACAGGGAAGAACTGAAGAGCCTCACAAAAGCACCTTTGCAGATAGAGAGAGAGGACCATGCGATCCTGAACGGACTGCCTTTGAGCTTTCCTCCGCGTTCGTGTGGTTTCAACCACTCTGGACGTTCTTCCATGGCTTCAGTGCACATGGTGGCTTCATTTGAAGTTGCTGACTCAGTGTGTCTGGGTATGTCTGGGTCCTTCAAAGTTGCAGATGCAATTACTGTATTCTTCCAGGGTAATCAGGTAATGAGGCCTGGTGTCAGTTTGTTTTTCAGGTGTTGTCCAACGTTTGTCCTTGCATGTTTTCTTTTCCTTGCTGCTTTTCTTCGCAAAATCACCTACTGCATCCTACTGCGATTTCTGGCCTAGGCCGTATAGAGTGGCAGATGCAGGAGCCAAGCTAGCTTTCTTTTGCAAGTGTCCTGAGTGAATTCCGAGGTGGGGAACGTCCCTTGAGTTCTATCGATGCAAGGGTGGTAATGCGTATGCACAGAATGTCTTGACTGTCTTGACCAAGATGTGAGGAAATGGATGTGTCAGATACCTTGCAGGTGAGATCAATTGGCCAATAGGCCCAAAGATGATGAAAACCATGATCATTATCTTTGGCGGTCTTGCATTGACGGGTCTGGTTTCTTGGCTGCAGGAAGTATATTCAGGATAGTTGGGTTCGTGTCCGTTGAAGGCAAATTTGCAAATAGCACAGCATCTTTGTAGGATTTGCATGCAATTAATTGCAATTATGTGTTCTATTGTGTTCTTCTTGTTTGTCGTTTTTTGCGAATACACAGTGTGAAATGGGTTGGTTGGGAAACTAAGGCTGGTTCAAAGCGGCAGGCATGCCCACTGGAGCAAGTACGAGGGAAGATGTGCCTTCGCCAGAGTTGTGACAGATGTTGTGACAGATGTTGTGACAGATGTTGTTGTTGTTGTTGTTGTTGGTTGTTGGTTGTTGTTGTTGTTGTTGTGGTTGTTGTTGTGGTTGTTGTGGTTGTTGTTGTTGTTGTTGTTGTTGTGGTTGTTGTTGTTCTTGTTCTTGTTCTTGTTCTTGTTGTTGTTGTTGTTGTTGTTGTTGTGGTTGCGGCTGTGGTTGTGGCGGCTATCAGCAGTAGCTGCAGCCCGGGAACGCACCTCCACTGGCAGATCGACAGACAAGCTCCGATAGAACAAACCAAGCGTCATTGCAAGTCCTCCCTGCCAGCTTCAGGTGGCCCAAACTAGAGAAGGACAAAATGGGCCGAGCAGACGGAACCAACAAGGAACCCGCACCGAAGGACAAATGCCCACCACAGCAACCAAGAGGGAAAAGAAACACAGCAAAGCAGGCAGAAGCCCCAGCGCGCCAACCACAACCACCAAAGGGAAAATAAACACCCCAGAGCGGGCGGAAGCTCCAAAGAGCCGAAAGACAAACACCAACCCCAAACCACAGCCACCCAAGGGAGGAAGACGAACACCACAGGGGGGGCAAAAGTCCCAGAGCGCCAAAAAGACAAACGCCAATCACAACCACCAAAGGAAAGCAGACAGCCCAGGGCGGGCAGAAGCCCCAGAACACCAATCAAAAAAACACCGACCCCAACTGCAACCGCCAAACCAGAAACACCCCAGGGCGGGCAGAAGTCACAGGGCACCAAAAGAGAAACACCAACAGCAGCGACCAGCAACAAAGGACAGTTGCCAACCACAGCCGCCAAGAAGAAGAAGAAGAAGAAGAAGAAGAGAGAGACAACAGAGGGGCAAAACACCCAAACAAAAAACCAAATAGACACCTCAACGTGGGCAGAAGCCCCAGAGTGCCAAAAGACCAACGCCAATCACAACGACCAAAACGAACGGAGACAGTCCAGTGCGGGCAGAAGCCCCAGGAAGCCCAGAGCACCAAACAGCAAACACCAGACACAACCACCAAAAGAAAGACACCCCAGGGCGGGCAGAAGCCGCAGGGCACCAAAAGAGAAACACCAACAGCAGCGACCAGCATCAAAGGACAACAATCAACCGCAGCCGCCAACAGGAGGAGAAACAAAACAGATGGGGCAGAACCACCAAAACATCCAAAACAAAAAACGAAAGACACCCCCGGGCGAGCAGAAGCCCCAGAGCGCCAAAAGACAAACACCGACCACAAACCACAGCCACTCAGGGAAGAAGACGAACACCCCAGGGTGGAGAGCTCCACAGCGCCAAAAAAGCAAGCACCAACCTCAACCAACAAAAGGAATAGAGACAGCCCGGGCAGGCGGAAGTCCCAGAGCGCCGCACACCAGCCAACAGAAAAGGAAGAAAGAAAGAAAGAAAGAATGAATGAATGATAATCAAAAATTGCACCGCATGGCAGCAAAAGACACACAAAGCGACCTAACCCCCAGGGCGGACAAACCCTGAAGCGCAAAACACAACACCAACCATCAGCGCAAGCCTCAGAGTGGCCGTAGGACCCATGCTGCCACCAAGAGGAAGAGAAACGCAGCAAAGCAGGCAGAAGCCCCATAGCGCCAAAAGACAATCACCAACACAACCACCCAAGGGAAGAAGACGAACACCCCAGGGCGAGCAGAAGCCCCAGAGCCTCAAAAAAGTAACGCCAATCACAACAACGAAAACGAACGGAGACAGCCCAGGGCGGGCAGAAGCCCGAGGAAGCACAGAGCACCAAACAGCAAACACCAGACACAACCACCAAAAGAAAGACACCCCAGGGCGGGCAGAAGCCGCAGGGCACCAAAAGAGGAACACCAACAGCAGCGACCAGCATCAAAGGACAAAAATCAACCGCAGCCGCCAACAGGAAGAGAAGCAAAACAGAGGGGACAGAACCACCAAAACAAAAAACGATAGACACCCCCGGTCGAGCAGAAGCCCCAGAGCGCCAAAAGACAAACACCGACCACAACCGCCAACCACAACCGGCAACAAACACAAACCGCGGCGAATGAAAGCCCAAAAGCGCGAAACGCAACACAAGCGGCATCGCCGAATGTCAAGAGCAATCAAATGCTCCGCTGCGCAAACGCAGCACTGTCAGCACTGTCACTCTTGCACCGGCTTGGGCAAGCGGGTTGGGAGAGGGGATAGGGGAAAAACATGGTAGAAGGGGGATTCTGGGGAGTGAGGGTTCAAGGTTCAGGTGGGAGGCTGTTATGTTTTTGTTCAACCTTGTAAATCTAAATGTTTGACTGTTTCTTTTTGATTATCTTGCTAAATGTTTCGTTGAGGTTGTTGTGATAATGTTTGGTTTGGATGAGGGTAGGTTTTGTTGAGGGTGTTTTGCTTGTTATGTTTTCTATGTTTTTGTTCAATGTTTCTTCCCCGCCTTTGATGTTTTATGTGCTGGGGATTTTGGGGCTATTTTGTCAAAAACTTTCACCTGATGTTTTGGTTGAGGTTGTTGTGATTTTTGTTGTATGTATTTGTTTAGAGATTAGTTCATAATATATTTTATTGATATATTATGAGTTAATCATTTTATGCTTTCCATTTTCCTATTCCGTCCCACCAGGTGTTCAATTACTCTTCTTTGTGTTGAGATATTTTTATTTGTATCATTCAGTTCATCCAACGCTAATGCTAATAGAGTTTCATTTATTGCCATAGCATCCCATTTTCCATCACGGTTAAGTTCCTTACCACAGTCAATGATTACTTTTTTATCCTTGATGGAAAATGAGATGCTAGGACAGTTTATGTTAGTATGTTGCCTGTTGTGAAATTGTGTTGAGGTTCCAGGTGTGTTCCTTGCTGTTGATAATTGTTATTCGCATCAAAATTCTCACGTTCTGTTGTTTAGTATTGGGGGGTGATGTTTATTAGATAAGGTGTGTCATTGTTGAGGTTCGGTTTTCCTTTCTTCCAATGGTGATTGTCCTTCGGTTGTGTCATCTTGCTTCGTCATCATCATTGCCTTCTTCGGATTCTTGCCGGGTAACCCAGAGAACAAGTTGCTCTCTGAGTCCTGAAGTATGAGCACTCCTTGCTGCTTTAGCAGGTGCGTCCGAAGCCTGTAAAAGCTCAGGTGTAGCCCGGTGTAGCTGTGATGATCCGTGGATGGAGTGTCGTGACGCAATGCCTCGCCCCGTGCTCACAAAACTTCGCACTCTGTTAGAAGAAATACAGAACCAGGACGATGCTGCCCCAAAAAGCAAGAGCCGCAAGAGGAAGGCATTGGAAGAATTAAATGTGTTGGAGGCACACATGGAAGGACAGAAAGAGGCCAAGAGGGCATACAAAGAGACCAAGAAGGCATACGAAGAGACCAAGAAGGCATACGAAGAGACCAAGAAGGCACTGGAGAAGACCATAGGGCTTCTGGAACAGGAGAACCGCAACTATGTGGTACAACTTGCCCAGCATCAGTCAGTGAGCCAGACCCGTCCCATTTTGGAGGTTGGACTTCAACATTACAACCAGAATCGCGGTCGGAACACTTCATACACCAAGGCCAGCCATGACTTTGAAAATGAGACAATTTTCGAGCCATCCGGCAGCCTTCAACCCTGGGCAAGAGAGACCTGCGAGAAATTTGAAAAGCATCTCCACTGCAAGATCATGCCCGGCTCCAGAGAGTTCCACGAAGCTCTCTGGGATTTATACAAAGACCTTTCCAGGCGGCACCACTCAACGGGAGGTTTCACTACAGGAGTTGGCCTAGTAATTCAAACGCCGTCTCCAGTACAGACTGGAGCAGTTGTCCTGCTCATGTGCGCCCTCCGTTTGAAAGGTTACTTGCTCAATATCCAGATTAGGGCAGAAGTAGAGGGGAAGGCAGTGATCATAACCAAGAAAGGCAAGCTCAAGGTCGACCAGTTCGGTTGAGACTAGCATTGGAAGTATAGTGTTCAGGATGGTTTAGATAAAAAGTGGACCACTTGACTAAGCTCTGGTGACTGAATTCAATATTTCATCCCAGATTTCTTGCTTGACCTTGGCAGAGAAGCCACCCGCCAGTGGCTGTAGCCTGATGTGATGGACATTTTGCTTGGAGACCCCCCCAAAACCAGATTTTGCGAATTTCTGCAAAACAGATTGCGAAATCCCGCAAAATCCATTTCAGAGGTTGAAATCCCTTCATTTTTCCTTTTAGGGGCGATCTTGCAAAATTTCGCAAAATCCATTTCAAATCTCGCAAAAATCATTTTTTGAACCCTTCCGTCCCAGAAATTACAAAGTGTCCATCTCTTGCCAGAGTGTCAGCCACAAAACGCACAGGTGGATTGACAGACTGCTTTGGAGAAACCGTCAGCCAAACATTCGGTCAAAACAGAGAGGGTCATTTTGTTTGGCCCTTTTGACCTTTTTGTTGAGTGTGTTGGAACTTTTTACTGCACGAAGATTAGCATTGTCATCAAAAAGGATGAGAATTTTTCGATCCATCTCAATCCCAAGATTATACAATTCCATTTTTTAAAACCCCGTCCCCTGTCATCTCACGCCGAGGTTAAGAAGACATCAATGAAATGACCTTCGTGAAGGTCAATCCCGGCGGTTCAAAACCTGACTTTTGGTGAGGTGAAAAACCAACGCCTTGAAACAAATGAACCTACCAAACTGTCTCCAGAACCTGACATTTGAATTGACTACCTCAGCCAGTTTTTTTTTTGTAAGGGGGGGGGCTCATCCCAACCCTCGGGGTTATGTAAACATACATATTGAATTCACACATCCCACACATCCCACACATTTAATATATCATATCATTATTATATCCCCCATCCCTTTCATTCACCCCCCCCGTCTGTTCAGAAGGTTTAGCGCTGACGGTCTGGAAGAATGGGAGGGAACGGATGTTTTTTTTTGTTTAAACAACACCACTGGGAGGGAGCGACTGGTGCGGAAGTTTCAAAGCATACCCCCACTTAGTGTTGTGGTGAGTTTGATTTTTTATACAGATATTGAATATATTGTATACAAATATACTTATTTACAAGTGCTTCGCATCAATGCCGACCTCAACCATCAACTAGGCGGTTGGCGTCCCCAACAACAACAAGCACTCACAACTCTGACATAAATTTTGTGAGATTCGCGTCAGCGTTGCGAAAGCTTCGCAACATTACTGACATAAAATCAATGAGACACTCACCACAACATCCAACACAAGACCCAAAAACGCTTAAAGAAATAACGCCTTATAGAATTAAGAATTGAATATGCCCTGCTATATGTATATTAACGGTATGAAGCAAGAAATGGACGAAGACCTTTTTGATGAAATGGCGGAAGCACTACACCAATCCGACAACATCCACAACCCCCCAACAGCAACATCCACAAGATGGAAACCCGACGGAACTTACGACAAGAAACCATTAGACCCAGAGTATTTTTCAAAATATTATCAAGAGAAATTATCAACCCCTTTCACTTGCCCCGACTGCGGACGAACAATCACGAGCAAATCAAATCTGTCAAAACACCGTCAAACAAAAAGATGTATCAACAGCAGATGTCATTGATGGAACGTTGAACTCAAACATCAATCCCAGAAATTCCAACAGGCAACCCTTACCCGAAAAAAAAAAAAAACTACTTAAAGAAATAGTGCCTTATATAGTAAGTAGAAAATGGCAGAGGGTCAAAGGTTGATTGATTTACCTGATGAGGTTATGACGAACATCTCGTCATTTTTGGTGGGAACACCCCAGCACTTGAGGCTTCACAACAACAAAGCACTGCGAAGGTTTCAAAAGAAATGCACCCCACGTATTGAAAGAGATTGTAGGGTAGATTATGACAGTGATGATGACACACTTTATGAACATCAAAAGTCTAATGTTTATCCAAAATTCAAAAACAAATCATATGCTTTAAATCTCATATTAGAACAAAGAGAAAGAATTGAAACCATCATCAAACAAAGTCATTTGAGATACATTCAACCGGATATGAACTTTCAAGTTGTTATGTCAATTGATTGTATTGTTGAAGATGAAAACGGTGGGAATGTCCTTGAAACATATTGCACAGAATGTATATATCGTTCAGATGAAGACAATGACATAATCCTTACACTATATCAATTTCATCAGGAGTTGTTTGAGAAGTGGGTGAATGTTTATGAGCAGAGGGACTATGACGAAGATGATTATAAACCTTGGATTATGTGGATGTGTGAATCAAGCATGGATTGTGAAAGCAAGCATTGACCTTGGATGTGTGTTGCCACTTTTGATCGAACGTACAGGGGCCCTAGATCCATACGCTGTTGTGACAACTCAACATGGCATACCAAAAAGGGTGAGGTTTGCACCTTCCGCTGCTCCGCTCAGTGCTACAGTGGTAGCGGCAGCTGTGGTGACCTTCCAGGCAAATGCCGGAACTTGAGGACATCGCGACGCCTGAGGCTAGAGCTTCGACGGCGGTGAGTCCCTTTGCAGGGGCAACTGGACCAGGCAATGGAGAAGGAGGCGGGGGGAGAGACCGTGATGGGGTCCGTGATAGGGAACCACCTCCTTCTTACGATGGTTTGGATCCAGAAGGAACGTTCAAGACGTTCGAGAAAAGTGTGCGGCTGTGGGAGTTTGAGACAGACATCCCACGAAGAAAGCAAGGTGCAAAACTCCTTAGAGGTCTTACAGGCATGGCACAGTTGGCAGTGGAAAACATGGAGTTTGAAGAGATAGCCACAGAAGATGGAGTGAGAAACGTCATGCGTAGACTGAAGGAGTTTTTCCTCCCACACTTGGAGGTCAGTTTGCCAAGGGCTTTTGAGAATGCAGTATATGGAAAACCAAGACAGGCTTCTGAAGGATATGCAGAATACATAGCAAGAATGGAAAGGGCTTTTCATAGGCTAGAGAAAGAAGGAGTCACGATGCCAGATGGAGCCACAGGGTACATACTGTACCGTCATGCGAGTTTGACAGAGGCTCAAGACCAAAGGTTGCTGACATGGTGTGATGGAAAGTATGACAAGAGCTCCATAGTCAAAGCTCTTCGGAAGCTGGACAAGGTGGTGCGAGAGAAGTCGGGCAAGTCGTCCTACTTCAATGACGAGGGCGAGGGCCTTGACGAGGAGGCCTACATGATGGAAGATGAAGACGAAGACAATTATGTCTACGTCGCCGATGGCGATTTGGATCAGGTGTTCACCGAGGAGGAGATGATGGCTGCATTGGCTAGCTACAAGGAGGTGAGAGACTCCCTGAGAGAGCAAAGGAACAACAGAGGATACTATCCTCGAGGCAAAGGCTTTGGGGGCAAGAACATGACGAAGGGCAAGGGCAAGCACCGAGTGCACATCGAGCAGCTCAAGCTGAGGACGAAGTGCTGGCGTTGTGGGGCACTGGGGCACATTAGCCGTGAGTGCAGTGCGCCGGCTCCGGAACGCGGCAAGGGCTCGATGGGAAGTTCTTCCAATGCTCCTTCATCGAACCCGTCTCAGAAGTCTGGTTTCTTTGTCATAGGGGAGTCAGAGGGTGGCCAAAGCAGCTCAGTTTTTCCAGTTTGCCAAGATGTGCAACATGATGCTTCGCACTGGTGGTTGAGACAGTTTGTAGAAGAACTCACAAACTTCGGAATGGCGACCAGCTTGTGGGGAGATTAATTTGTAGGGATTTTTGGGCATCTCAAAAAGTACTTTTTGAGCTATTTTGAGCCAAAAGTGACTCGTGCTAGCATCGTGATAACATCAACGTGTTTCACAGGTTTGAAAACGTGACATTGAACAACTTTGAACCCAAAAACCAAAAAATGAACCTTTGAAATGAAATTTGGTATTGCGTTTGTGTGTTTTCATTGGTTTTTGTTCAAAGCTTGAACTGACATGAAATATGGTGTTGTCATTGTTGCCGTTGTGAATAGCCTTTGTCACTTGGGTCAATTGTCATGAGGCTGCCACCTAACATGTGAACACGAACAAGTCAGCAACTTCAAAAGTAGAAAAAATGAATATTTTCAAGGGAATAACATTTTTCATTCGTTGGGTAATGTATAAAGTTTGATGTTTGATCGCTGCGCCAGCATATAGTCACATTGCCAACACTGGCCAGCACCAAAAAAAAATACACATATGTCTTATGTACGCAAGCAGAAATACATGTGTAAACAAAAACGTTTTTTTAACGCTACCATGTGTACGCAGGAAATGAAATATACAAGCAGAACATAGATATGAAACGTTTTTTATATAATAAAAGCGTGCTTTTACAACAGTATCTAACCGTGAACATTGTTGAATATCTACTGGCATACCTGTTTACACTTGAGTGTATACAAGCATACGGTTGTGGACCTGGAAATTGAAAAGTCAATATGTGTGGACGTGCACACATACCTATCCTTTGAAAAAGGCACTAACTAATTAGCATTTATGTTTACAAACCTTAATTACGATGTGTTTCCTTAATTGAGGTTTGTTCTTCAGTAATTGAGGTTTGTTTGCGCAAGAAACAAACTTTAGTTAAGGGAACAAAGTTTCAGTGGAGACTGTGGTTTTGTAAGGTTTGTTTTGAAGGCTCGTTTTTTGACACATGTTGGCACACATGTGTGATTCTGCTTAGGCATGCAATGGGCAAAAGGAACATATATACACAAATGTATATATATATATTTGAGAGAGAGATATATATATATATGTAGATGTATTTTTACAATAATACACGCATGTTCAATAATCAACGTCGCACTTTATTTTATTTGTGGAGGATTTTGCGCATAGTCTTGTTGCATTTGTTGTTTTCCATGCCGTACGTCGTTTCCGATGCTGTATGGATAATAAACGGATAAGTTGTAAAAAATACGTTGATAACACATGGAAAATGAGTGGATGATAAATGGATAATATAAAGAAAATACGTGGACACTAAATTGATAATATCTACATATTTGATTTAATTTGGAAAATATTTGGCGAGTAAACTGGAAATAAATGGAAACTCAGGAAATGAACGGATTATAAATGGATACTCAATTTATAAAAAAATTAAATGGATTTCGTATTGCCTGTTTCTACTTCAAACAGATTGGACAAGGAATTTTGTATGGCCTATCTTTCTACTTTGCTTTTGGTCCTAGATACTGGCCTTATGTTGAGTCTATACTGAAAAATGCTGCCCTTGCTTTTGGTCCCAGACGCTGGCCTTTTGTTGGAGGAGGGATTTCGCATTGCCTTTTTTCAACTTTAAACATCTTGGAGGAGGGATTTCCGATGGATAGCACATGGATGAACAATTGGTAAAAAAGGGATAGTATTCTTATATGGATAAAGCATGGATGGTACATGGATAATGCATAAAGCCAAATGGATAATAGCTGGATATAATGGCTGAACAATGGATAATATTTGGACATTTGGACGGAAATGTGAAACTTTATGGAAGGAAACTGATAATATATGGAAGCAATAAAAAAAATATTGGACGATATATGTATGGCATATGGATGAAACAATGATGACAGAATGGAAAATACATGGAAAATAAATTGCTAGTACATCGATAACAAACGGACGAGCACAAGACAATATGTGGTGATATATGGGTAGTAAATGGATAATTAATGGATGATAGATTGATAATAGCTAAATCCAATGCATGATTAATGCCAAATACATGAATAAACAATTGACAACAAATGGATAAACAATGATTAAACGGATAATAAATGGACAATGAATGGATACTATACATGGATAAAACATGGATAACTTATGGATAACACGTTGATCGCAAATCGATATTGAATGTGTTATATGGACGCTAAATTAAGAATAATAGATGGATAAAATATGGATGGTATGTGGGTAGAATTGCTCAAAATCTTTTCAATTGCTCGAAAATGGCTTGCTATAGACCAAAACAAGTATTCAAACGCAATGGGCCTGGCCAGAAAAGTTTGCTCAAAATTGGCCTAAGGATTGCGTCTAGACTAAAACAAATATTAAAATAAAATTGGCAAAAACGTTACGACCTAGCTTCAATCTCCATAATTTGTGAATTCCAATTGTGCAGGAATGACATGTAGATTGAAAGGACTATTCAAATATACAAATTGCTGGCCGAACAAATTCCGCTCAAAATCGCTCAAAATCGCTCAAAATTGCTCAAAATTGCTCAAAATCAACTCAAAATGTCTCAACATGTCTCAAAATGTCTCATACCTGCCCCAAAAATCCGCTCAAAATTGCTCAAAATTGCTCAAAATTGCTCAAAATCAACTCAAAATGTCTCAAAATGTCGCATACCTGCCCCAAAAATCCGCTCAAAATTGCTCAAAATTGCTCAAAATTGCTCAAAATGTCTCAAAATGTCTCAAAATGAGTTTTGAGAAAAATTGAGTTGATTTTGAGACATTTTGAGACATTTTGAGACATATTGGGACAGATTGAGACATTTTGAAGCAAACTGGTAGTTGCTGACAGTGCCAAAGGCATGAAAAAATGTAACGCTGTTGCAAACTTTTTGAAACCGAAAGCAAACAGATGTGAATATTTACAAAAAAAATTGATGAACTGGTGCTTTTGCTTATAGTACCGCAGCATGAATACTTACAGAAATAAAAGTTTGATGAAACACTGTTTTTGCTTATAGTACCGCAGCATGAATGCTTACAGAAAAGTTTCATGAAACACTGTTTTTGCTTATAGTACCGTAGCGTGAATACTTACAGAAAAAAATTTTCCGCGCTGCGCACGGAATTTTCTTGAACCTTAAGCTTGAAGGTTGCAACATGGAAAACATTTGGAAAAGAGTTTATACAAGAGTGCCGTGGCAAGAGTGCCTGCCTGCATGTCAGGGATGCTCAATTTAGGGCTCATCTCCAGTAGTAGCGTCTTGTAAGAGTGTCCCAAAACTGTGTCATAGCATCATAGCAGAAGTGTTGCTATTTAATGGACATTATCTGCCCTAAATTTATGGACACAACCTGCCACTAATTTATGCACATAACCTGCCACGAATATGGACATTACCTGCCAGTAATTTACCGACGTAGCCTGCCAATTTATGAACATAACCTGCAACCAATCTATGGGCATCACGCCGAACCCGGGTGGATCTGTCAAGCGGGGCAGCCGTGTCTTGCAAGAGTGTCCACAAGAGGGTCGTGGCAAGAGTTTCTTGCTGTCCCGCAAGAGTGTCCCATAGCCTGCCACTAATTTATGGACATAACCTGCCACTATTCTATGGAAATTACCTGCCAATAGTTTATGGACGCGACCTGCCATTAATTTATGGACATAACCGGCCAAGAATTTATGGACGTAACCTGCCACTAATTTATGGGCATAACCTACCACTAATTTGTGGCCTTAACGCCGACCATGGATGTATCAGTCAACTGGAGCAGCAGTGTCTCGCGAGAGTGTCCACAAGAGTATCGTGGCAAGAGTGCCTGCCTAAAAGTGAGGTATGCTAAATTTAGTGTGCCTAAATGGAATTAATGGAGTTTAGGTATGCATGTTAGGCTTGCCTAGAAGTGAGGTATGCTAAATTTAGTGTCCCTAAGTGCCATTTATAGAGTTTAGGGATGAAAAAATGGCGTCGCCTAAGATTTGCCACTCTTTGCACTCCAAGTGCTGTTCCTTCCACTGTCGCCGTCGTCGCTTGAGCCATAAAACGAAAACAGTTTTTTCAACCTTTTCGTAAAGGATGTTTCTAGGGTGTGAGGATCTGCTTTGGTAATTTTCCCGTTGGTTTGGTACTGCTTTGGGGATTAAAAAGGGGCGACTTTTTAGCCCCAAAAAGGGGCTCCAAAAATAGGTCAAAAAGGCGCCCCCCAAAGTCCCAAACCAAACGGAAAATTACTAGTCTGCTTATTGGTTCTTTCGCTCCCCTCATCATCCTAGCTCCCCCTTCTGTCGCTACACGCATTACAGTGGCAACGGCCAGGTGAAGTGAGGATGCAGACAACCGTATTAGCTAACCAAGTGAAGCCACGAACCTGGATGCCAAGAACAAAAATCCTACCCTGCAGAAAAAGGATCCTAAATAAAAAATATATAAAAACAAATCTTGTAACCCTCCTAAAGGCTCCCGGCGGAGTGGATGAAGACGTCCCTTCTGACAGACAAGGGGGTGACACAATGGGGTAAGGGAGGCTATTAATAAATTAGTGGCAAGTTATGCCCATAAATTAGTGGCAGGTTATGCCCACAAATTAGTGGCAAGTTACGTCCATAAATTAATGGCAGGTTATCTCCGTACAATTAGTGGCAGGGTATGTCCAGAAATTAGTGGCAGCCTGTGGGACAACCTTGTGGTGTGGACACTCTCGCAAGACGCTGCTGCCCGAGTTGACTGATCCATCCGGGTTCGGCGTTATGTCTGTAGATTAGTGGTAGGTTATGCCCATAGATTAGTTGCTATGCCAATCAATTAGTGGCAGGTTATGTCGATAAAATCTTGGCAGGTTGTGTCCATAAAGTAGTGGCTGGTTATGTCCAAAAATTACTGGAAGGTAATGTCCATAGATTAGTGGCAGGCTATGTCCGTAAATTAGTGGCAGGCTGTGTCCATAAATGAGCGGCGCTCCCGCTATGATTTTGTGACACTCTTCTGGGACACTTTTACACGACACTCGTACTGGAAATAACCGCTACATTTTGCATACCTGACTTTTAGGCAAGCTTGAAAATGCAAACCTAATAAGTAATATTATATTAAATTAAACAAGATCTATGTGTTTTGACAAGGGACATTTATGTTCTGGGAGCAACATCGATACTCATTGTTTTAAGACAACAAAAGATCACAAAAATGACAACAATGACAGCACATTACAAACAAATAACAAACAAGGACAAAATTGACAACCCTGAGGCTCGAAGTTAAGGCCTCGAAGTTAAGGTGTGATTCCATTTTGGTGATAAAAATGGAAAATGGATGGACCATACGTGGTTCATGCAATCATAATTTCCATGCTAAACAGGTCAAATCCATGCCCAGTTTCTCTCATCAGTTCATACAATTGACACAAATGACTCAGCTGCACACTGAGCTGGCCAACGTAATCACAACGTGTTAGCATCGTGAGCAGGTAAACGTTCAATCAACGTTTTACCATATTTTAGATTTTATCTGTTTGAACATATTTTGTCTTTTTTTTAAATATTTTGTAAAAAAATATGAAACCACATTTGTTTGCACAACGTTCTGGACAACAAATTAGTCTACCAAATTTCAGATTAGCCTACCTAAATTTCAGAAATGCCTATGTCATTTTCAAATCACCTAGGCATTTCTGAGATCAGGTAGGCATTTCTGAAAGTCATGAAGGGCAAACCCCTACAAACTAATACCTTACGATCTGGGATGCATTCTTAAGTTTGTGAAGAACGCAGGCGAAAGAACGCCAGCGGACCTCAGAGCTTTGCGCAGTCCGAGAGAGCATACAAGAGTGCAATGTCCGAAGGGTTTTGTGGCATCATGACACAATCAGCACATGGAATAGTAGACACTGCAGCAGAAGGAGGCTTAGTAGGTTCAAAGGCATTGGAGCGTTTGACTGGAGAGTTGCAGAAACATGGACTTACATGCAAGTGGACACCAAAGAGATCATCAGCAAAAGGCGTAGGAGGACAAGCAAAGGTAATTGGAGTGGTGCTGATACCTCTAGGAGTTGGTGGTTTGAACGGAGTTTTAGAAGCAACCGTGGTTGAGGGTGACGTGCCGCTGTTGTTGCCAGTGAAAATGATGAAACAACTCAAAGCGATCATTGATTTTTCCAAAGGCATCTTCACCATCACCTCTGAGTCCATCGAAGTTCCCATGTTTGAGCTTCCGTCAGGGCATGTCACGATCGATATTCTGAATTTTGCAGACACAGGTTTTGAGGTTTCAGATCCAGATGCTCCATGCTCCACATCCGATTTTCAACTACATGTTTCTGCCCGAGCCATGCTGGCTCAGCTCGGGATCAAAAAGTGTGCAGCCCCATCATTGAGTTTTCCGCAAAACTCTCCGCTCTCTTTGCTCGGCGAACAGGGCGAGCTTAGTGCAGCGGCTGATGGGTGGGCAGCACGCGGTGGAGACCTCCGAGCCGATGTTTGGAAGTCCGCCAAGAGCCCGGCGTCCGAAGGTGGCACTACGTGGATGGCGAGTGGTGATGGACAAGATCGTCACCATCATGCAATTCGTGGATCAGCAATTGGCCGTGCAGGAGTGGTTCCCAGGCTCCTCTGGACTTTTGGTGCGGCCTACGCCGCTGTCCAAGGAGCAAGAGACGGTCGAGGATGTGTACGCCCAGCTGATCGTTGGGGCGGAGGTGTTGCCTCCGTTGAAGAGCCAAGAGAAGCCATCTACAGCAGCCAGCTCTTGCATTCACCCGAAGAGTGCTCTGAAAGGAGGTGGAAACAAGAGCGCATCGTACATCTTTTGCAAGATGTGCATGAGCCGTTGGTCCAGTCCAATGACGGCGGCAGAGATACATGCAGGCTTGAAAGAGCAGAAGAAGCAGGGCCCCTTGAGTCAAAAGAAGGAGGTTCAGAAGAAGGTGCGTGCAGTAGAGGATGCAGAGATGTTGGAGCCGCCATATGGAGAGGAGGTGATCGCCAGTCAAGTGGCGGCGCAAGCTCAAGACCAATTGGAGAAGATGCAGCACCAGATGCAGATCGAGACAGAGAAGATGCGGGTGGCACAAGCAGAGATGTGGCAGGAGCTTCAGTCCCAGAGACAGGAGTCCAAGGAGAAAGAGGTAGTGCATCAAAGGGCACTACTCGCCATGCATCAGGAGAAGGAGGATTTGGAGAAGCAACTTCGTCAAATGAAAGCAGCAGCAGCAGCTCCGCAGGTCAAGCTGTGTTGGTGCGGGAAGTCAGCGGAGAAGTTAGTGGTCCGCAAAGAGGGAGCACGTCAAGGAAGGAAGTTCTGGAAGTGCACTCAGAGAGAATGCCAGTACTTCGAGTGGGTGCCGAGAACTCCGAGCCCACCACCGAGCGAGATGAGTGGGTTCTCTCTGGTCACGTCGCAGAAGACCGGAGAACAGATGAGCGTGGCATCTTCCAGGAGGAGGAGCAAGAGTCCCAGAACAGCACATCGCACTCATGCAGCAGGACAAGTGGCGGAGACGATCTCCGATTGAGTCAGGAGACCTGGCTCTATGCGACTGCAGTCAAGGGACAGAGGACCTTGAACAGGGTGCTTCGAGGTCATGATCCGCATTTTGCGGCCAGCAGTTTTCAGTATGAAAAAGAAGAGGCTGAAGGTGATTGGAAAGTTATGAGCGGGCAGATACCTCCTCAGGAGGGGGTCTCTGTTCGAGTGAAAGTTGTTTTGCAGAAGAGGGCTGAAGCAGAGAATTTCTTTGGCTTGGAGAAAGAGACGCAGTTCAATAGAAAACAGAGAAAGATGATGAACAGGGCGTTTGAAGCAGTGACGCCTGTGGTGAGCGAAGTGCTCTCACCGCCACGCGTCGTTGAGGAGGCGCGAAGACAAGGTCTGCAGCCGGGCACCTCATTTGACATCACAGAGGGCTGGGACCTTAGCAAGCCAGAGATCAGGAAAAAGATGTGGAGAAAGCTCAAAGAGGAAGATCCTTTATTGATCATTCTTTCACCTCCTTGCGTTGGTTTCAGCATTTTGCAGGAACTCAACCTGCCTCACATGTCATGGGAAGATGCAGTGATGTTGATTTCCACAGGGTTGGATCATTTGGAGCTCGCGATGCTGATCGCGAAATGGCAAGCCAAAAGAGGCAGGTACGTGTTGTTTGAGCATCCATGGCTAGCCAGGTCATGGCATGAGGAGTCGGTGAAAGAAGTAGAGCAAATGGCAGGCATGCACAGAGTTAGGTGCGATCAGTGCATGTATGGTTTGCGAGTGGATGAGTGGGGTCTCAACATGAAACCCACTGGAATCATGGTCAATTCAGAGAAGATAGCAGCACGCATGAGCCGAACGTGCGACCATCGACATTTCCATGCGCCTACCATGAATGGCAGACCAAAGAAGGCGCAAGTATACCCCAAGGAGTTTTGCAAGCAGATTATTTTGGGTTTGAAAGAACGAATGGAGGTAGATGGACAGTTGAGGCTGAAGTCAGAAGTTTTTGTAGAAGATGAAGATGAGGAAAATTCGGATCATGAGGAGGATCCGAATACAGAAGCAGCCGCAGGAGAAGCAGAAGGAGACTACTCCATTTCAGAGGAAGAGAAGAGACAGGTGCAAAAGATGCACCGCAGCTTGGGGCATCCGCAAAAGCCCGAGTTTGTGCGTTTTATGAGAGCAGCCAGAGTGAAGGGAGAAGTCATTCGATGGGCGGCACATGAGTTCAAGTGCCCAGCGTGTGAGGCACGGCCCAAGCCGAAGGCCACGAGACCAGCAGCAATTCCTAGAACATACCAGCCAAACAGAGTCTTGGGGGTGGACCTGATTTTCCTTCCAGAGGTTGGAGGAAAAGAAACTTTCCCAGCATTGTCCATTTTGGATTGGGGTTCCAACTATCAGGTGGTCGAGAGAGTCGAGAGCAAACACCCAGACACCGTGTGGAACACAATGTGGTCATGTTGGTTTAGAACGTTTGGCTGGCCCGACGTCATTGTCTGTGACGCCGGAAAAGAGTTTTCAAGGAAGTTCATGCAGCTGGCCACGTCATGTGGCATTGTGGTGCAGCCCATTGCTGCAAAGGCACCATGGCAGCAGGGAAGAACAGAGAGGCATGGAGCATTGTTCAAAGAGTTACTTGCCAAGGGTAGAGAAGAGACAGTCATCTCCAGCCCAGAAGAATTGAGGAGACTCATGCAAGAGACAGAGATGGCGAAGAATCGGTTCAGCAACCGATCAGGATATTCCCCAATTCAGAGGCAGATTGGGCAATGGCCGAAGGTGCCGAGTGAACTCCTTTCAGATGATGTCATAGACCCAGGATTGATGGATGGCGCCGTGGTCGATGACATGGAGAGGAGTTTGGAGCTGCGAAGAATCGCACAAAAGGCGTTCATAGAACACAACGCCAGAGAGTCCTTGAGGAGGATAGAGAAAGGAAGGAGCAGAGTTCCCCAAGAGTTTCAGGCAGGGGACTATGTTTACGTGTACAGAGTAGCAAGAGAGAAGAAGAGGAAGCATGAGATAGGGCCAAGGAGTCAGGAGCATGTTCCAAACAAGGCATCTTGGATTGGTCCAGGAACCATTGTTGCGGTGGATGGAGCTAGTCTGTGGATCTCCATGTTTGGAGAATTGTGGAGGACTGCACGCGAACAATGTCGTACGGCGACAAACATTGAGAAGCAAGGAATTGAGGAAGTTATGAGGAGCCGCAAGGAACTGGTGGAGGAATACAAGAGGTCATCCAACAGAAAAGGATACAGAGACATCAGAGATGAGAGGTGGCCATCAGACGATGAGATAGAAGACGGATCGGAGGAGAGTCCAATGAAGCGAGAGGTGAGATTTCAAGAACCCCTCGAAGAAGGGGAGGCTCCCGTATCAGAGGGATACGCGCCAACCACTCCGATAGACTCCCCTCGAGGTGGGGAGATTGAGAACGGAGAGACAGAAGACTCGGAGATGAGTCACAGAAGATCAGAGAGAACAGAAGAGACGATAGAAGAGCCAGAAGGAGAGGCCAGACGCAGAAGCTCACTGACAGAATCAGAGATTCGAGAAGCATTGAGATCAGAAGAGGAAACGGCAGACAGGCCAGAGACAGAAGAAGGAGATGAACGATATCAGAGGATCGTCGAAGAGTCGATCCACAGAAGTCGTCGCCTAGAGGGTCTTCCGGCAGTAGGACAACCTTTGCGAGTAAGGAGTCGACCGTCTGCCGATGGTCCATACTTCCAAGAAACCTTCTTCATAAGTCCAGAGGAAGAAGATTGGCAAGAAGAGGAAGAAGACAGAGAAGACCACATGAGATGGCAGAAGCTGTGCAAGATGAGCCAAGAAGAGCCCAAGAGAGACTACTGGGAGTTGGACTTGAAGGGTCAGAAGATGATCCGACATCACGTCCAGAAGAGAAAGGCACTTTTCTCCCCGGAGGGAGTAAAGTCCACACCAGTCAAGTTGAATCAGATGCAGCAACAGAGAATCACTATAGTGGATGGCCGCAAGAATCAAGAGGAGAGACGTATAGAAGATCAATGGGCACAAGGAGATGCCAAGAGAAGCCGAGGAGTTTGGTGGACAGGCCGCACAGAATTTTTCCTGTGCTCCAAGTCAGAAGGCAAGACAGAAGAATCCATAGAGACTTGGGCAGTAGAGAAGAAAGGCACAGAAGACGTTGATCTGAGGACAGAAACGCCTGAAGCCCTTGAGGGCTGGAAAATGGCTGATGCAACAGAATGGGAAAAGATCAGCAAGAGTGGCGCTGTGAGAGTTCTCAGCGTAGAAGAATCGAGAGAGGTCAAGAAGAAACTGGCTTCAGAAGGCAAGCTAGATAGGATCTTGCCTACTCGGATGCTCAGAAAATACAAGCATGCTGAACAGCCAAATGAGCCTCCTTCACAGAAAAGCAGGCTGTGTATCAGAGGAGACAAGGACCCAGATATTTTTGATCTGGAACGATTTTCACCAACGGTTTGCACCATGAATTTGAACGTGGTGCTTCAACTGGCAGTGAACGAAGGAATGCAGGTCGGCATTGGAGATCTAAAGAACGCATTCTGCCAGTCGCAACCGCTGATGAGAAAGAATGGAGCCTTGTACTTCAAACAACCACAAGAAGGAATCACAGGGCTACACCCTGAGCAGATTGTTTTGATCATTGCTGGATGTTACGGCTTGGTGGATGGACCACTGCATTGGAGAAAGTCATTGGTTCAGACGCTGAAAATGCTGGGCTATCAGGAGAGCAAGTTGGATCCATGTTTGTTCAAACTGTTTGAGAATGGGAAGCTTTGTGGTTTGCTTGCGATAGAGGTTGATGATATTTTAGCATGCGGAAAAGGTTTGCATCTGAAAAAGATTGAAGAGCTGAAGACCTTGTACAACTTCGGCAAGTGGGTGGACCTCCGCGATTCCACTCAAGGTGCCTCTTTCAATGGAAGAAGACTTCGAGTAGGGAGCAAAGGCGAAATTCTCATTGACATGTGCAAGTTCATCCAGGAGAGGTTGCATGAGATTCCATTAGACAAAGGCCGGAGATCGTCCAAGAAGGAGCCGGTCACAGAAACAGAACGAACACAAGCCCGGGCCTTGTGTGGATCGCTTAACTGGCTATCCAAAGAGGGAAGGCCAGATGCGGCCGGCCCATCTAGCTTGATGTCCTCGCGTTTGACCAGAATGACAGTGGAAGATTTGATTCAGCTGAATGAGGTGGTTCGTGGTTTGAAGGAGACTGCAGAAGTGACTCTGCAGGTGCAACCGCTGAAAGAGATGCAATTGGCGGTCATCACAGACGCTTCATTTGGAAATGATGGTTTTCATTCTCAGGGAGGTCAAATGATATTAGCTCATGAGCCAGGCTTGAAGAAAGGTCAGAAGGTCAAGACGAATTTGCTCTGGTGGCGTAGTGCGAAGCTGCAACGGGTTGTAAACTCTACTCTGGCGGCAGAAACACAGAGTTTGTCGAAGGGCATAGGAGACCTTTTATGGATGAAAGTTTTGATTCGTGAGCTGAGCGAGGAGAAGTTCAACATAAAGGAATGGCCTGCGCAACTTGCGAGTGAGAGGGTTTTAGCCTTAGCCAAAGACACCAGTTCCCAAGAGTTGCAAGAATGTCTTGCGATTGTAGATGCGAAGAGCTTGTTTGATCACCTGTCGAAAGAGTCGATAGGGGGACAGGACAAGCGTACAGCTATAGAAATCCAGATAATTCGACAGGAACTGGCCCAAATGCATGGCGAAGTGAGATGGATAGATCACCCTGCGATGCTGGCTGATCCATTGACAAAGGTCAGGGGATCGACGAAGGCATTACATGACATGCTTTCGAGTGGAGCTTTTGGCATAGTAGCAGAGGTTGATCACATGGCCCATAGGAAAGAGATCAAAGCATCCAAGGTCAACAGAAAACTTGGGAGCTGTGAATCAAGCATGGATTGTGAAAGCAAGCATTGACCTTGGATGTGTGTTGCCACTTTTGATCGAACGTACAGGGGCCCTAGATCCATACGCTGTTGTGACAACTCAACATGGCATACCAAAAAGGGTGAGGTTTGCACCTTCCGTTAGAGGGGCTCCGCTCAGTGCTACGGATGGTATTTCATTAGGAATTTCACCAGTTTATAAATCATCAAAATTAAACATTTATCCATACAATATTGACGGTGTGATGATAAGTTTTTTTTTTTAAATGCACTTTTCAGAACCACGTTGAATTTAACGTGATTGTATGTAGGGTTGAACCCCAACCCCAAAACCCGAAAATTCCAACAGGCAACCCTTACACGAAAACTACTTAAAGAAATAGTGCCTTATAAGTATAGAGAAAAATGGGTGGGGCTGTCTGTAGTTGTTGTGTGTAAGGTTAAAAAAAAAAAATACGATTTTTTTATCTCAAAAACTTAATTCCAACAACAATCCAATCAACAGAAACATTCTCAACAAACAATTCACCCTGAAAAACCTACTTAAAGAAACAGAAGATTATAATAATATAGATTATACTATAATGGACGCTTCACAGCAGATTGTTTTAGATTACCTTTTGTCATCCGAAAAGGGTGAGATATTGAAACGGAATGGGGAAGAAATCAAGAAACTCAAAATAGGTGATAAGACCTACAACTTTGAAAGAAACAAACCAATCACGAACAGATTGAAAACCAAGTTCAACAAGATTAGACAGACTATGGACTACAAAAGATACGAATTGAAAGAAAAGAGAGGTATTAGATGGATAAATTTAGACAAAAACAAAGCACTATAGGAATACAAAAGAGATACAAAGCAACCATCACCGACGAACAATCTGCCTTCAAGAACTATACATCATCTTATGCCATCAACGACATCAGAGTTAAAGGCGTCAAGGCAATACAATACCTAAAATATCAAGACTTCAAGATAAAAGAATACTTACGAAAACATAAGGGAATGAAGGTTTTATTACAAACCTTCAGCAACTTCAAGAGCAAGAAAACCAATGAAGTCGTCAGAAGAGAAGTCCGGAGTAGAAGATATGAAATAACAAATGAAGATGAACTCACCAACGTATTGAACCAAATGGCAACAGACATTGAACATCAGGCAGAAGTGTTGGAAGCGTCGGAGAGCGGATTAGTCCTAACACAAATGGATAAGATAAAGTTTAATTTTGACAAATACAATCCAACTCGTGGGGGTAAATTCATACCTTTACCAAAGTGGGTTCAAAGCAAGAAAGCGTGTATCAACATCCAAAACGAAGACAACAAGTGTTTCAAGTATTCCATTCAATGTGGTATATGTAAGGTTTATGAGAAAGACCATCCAAACAGATTTTATCACTACAAAAACTTAAATGATGAAGTGAATTGGACTGATGTAAATTTTCCATCATCAAATATTGACATTGACACTTTTGAAGAAAACAATGATGGAAAGATTGCGGTTAATGTTTATTTTCTCAATCCCGAAGATGATGAACAGTCAATACTTTTGTATAGAAAAACGAAGGTTAAAAGAGCAACCCATCAAATCAGTCTTTTAAAACTTGAAGATGGAGATGACTACCATTATGTTTATATAAAAGATTATAATGAACTTATGGGAAGTCAGACCAACAAACACAATGAAAAAAAATATCACTGCTTTCATTGTAATCACGGGTTTAAATCACAAGCACTTTTAGACGAACACAGTGAAAAAGGATGTATGGCAGTTGAAGGACAACGAATAGAAATGCCATCATTTGACCAAGATGACCCCGACAAGTTCTTCATCAATTTCAAAAATCACTATAAAAAACTAAAAGCACCGTTTGTTATTTATGCTGATTTTGAATGTTTGACAACAAGAACGGGGACAGTTTCAACGAAAGAAATGGAGACTGACAAATACCAACATCACAGACCCTGCGGTTTTATGATTAATGTTGTTAGTTCCTTTGATGGAGCATCTGAACCCTTCTTATATATAGAGGCGAAGATTGTATGGATGTTTTTGTGAAGAAAATGATTAAAATTAAAGATAAGATAATGGACAAGATGAAAGAAAACAAGGACATAATAATGAGAGCGGATGATTGGAGAGACTTTAAAACAGCAACGAAGTGTTTTATATGTGGAATGGACTTTAAAGAAGGAGATAAGAAGTGTAGAGACCATTGCCACTTTACAGGTAAGTATAGGGGATGTGCCCACGATGATTGTAATTTACAATTTTCAATGAGATATTATAAAATTCCAGTCTTCCTTCATAACCTCAAAAATTATGACAGTCATTTAATCATTGAAAGAGCAAATGAACTATCAGAAAGAGCGAAAATAGATGTAATAGCACTTAACAGTGAAAAGTTTATCACCTTCGCTTTTAAAAACCTTTGCTTCAAAGACAGTTTCAGTTTCTTATCATCATCTTTGGATAAGTTAGTGAAGTTGAGTAAATATGAAGACGGTAATAAAAAGGAAAACTGGCAAAACAACTTCAAGTCCAGCAAGAGAAACCCCTACGTTGGCAATGACGAAGATTTAGATTTACTGACTGATAAGGTGTATATCCTTATGATTACTTCACTTCCTTTGATAAGTTCAGAGAAAGACAACTACCACCGAAAGAAAAGTTTTACAGCAATCTTACCGAAAGTAATATTGAAGATGATGAATACGAAAGAGCACTAAAAATTTGGGAACATTTCGGAATAAGAAATCTGGGTCAATACCACGACTTGTATTTGAGAACTGATGTTTTACTATTAACTGATGTCTTTGAAAATTTTAGAGACCTTTGTTTAGAATACTATGGATTAGACCCCGCACATTACTTTACACTTCCTAACTTTGCTTGGGATGCTATGTTGTTAAAAACAGGTGTCATATTAGAACCATTGACAGACCAGACTATGTATGAAATGATTGAAAAGGGTTTGAGAGGTGGTATGTGTCAAGTCAGTCATAAGGAAGCGAAAGCAAACAATAAATATATGGAAGATGAATACGACGAAAACAGACCATCTAATTATATCAGTTATTTAGATGCTAATAACCTTTATGGACTGGCAATGTCAATGAAACTACCAATAGGGGAACTGAAATGGATTAAGAAACTTTTAAATGAAAAGATGATAATGGACTGGAACGAGAACGATGATTTTGCTTATATTTTAGGTGTTGATTTAGAGTATCCAAAGGAAATACAGGACGAACAATCAGATTATCCATTAGCACCCGAAAATATGAAAGTTGAAGAAAAATTATTATCAAAACATCAAAGGGAACTACACCGACACTACTACAACGGTAAAGAAGCAAAGGATGAGAAACAACCGAAACTTGTATTGAACCAAATGGATAAAATCAATTATGTCGTCCATATCAAGGCATTACAGTTTTATTTGAAGAAAGGGATGAAACTAAAAACAGTCCATAGAGGAGTGAAGTTTCAACAGAGGCAATGGTTGAAACCTTGGATTGACTTTAACACTGGAAAGAGAAAAGAGGGAAAGAGTGATTTTGAGAAAGATATGTTTAAGTTAATGAATAACGCAGTTTATGGAAAAACGATGGAGAATGTAAGAAACCACATTGATTTTGAACTAGTAGCAACACAGGAAAGGATACAAAAATGTATAAACAATCCTAATTACAAAGGATGTAATATTATAAATGAAGAACTGGCAGGAGTGGAGAAAACGAAAGCGGTGTTGAAGTTGAATAAACCTATCTTTTTAGGAATGACTATTTTAGATTTAAGTAAGGTTCATATGTATAGTTTCTATTATGATGTTTTGAAGGCAAGGTATAAGGATGACATAAGACTAATCTATACTGACACTGACAGTTATGTTTTACAGACTTTCACTGAAGACCTATTTGAAGATTGGAAAGAAATAAAGGACTATATGGACTTCAGCGGTTATGATAAAAACCATCCGTGCTATGATGCCACTAATAAAAAGGTTCTTGGCAAATTCAAGGACGAGATGGATGGAAAAATCATAACAAACTTCATTGCTTTGAAGCCGAAAATGTATTGCTTAAAGGTTTTCAACGAAAAGAAGGCAGAAAAGAAAGCGAAAGGGGTTCCAAAACTGAAAGTCAAAAAGGATTTAGATATGAAAGACTATGAAGCAACACTCCACGAACACATCCGGAAGAATGTAAATTTCAACGCTATTAGAAGTAAAAACCATCAAATCTACAGTATAAATCAAAGCAAGGTCGGTTTAACATCTTATGACAACAAACGGTATTGGTTCAACGACACGGATAGTGTCCCTTACGGGCATTACAGTTTATCAAATTAACAATATTATTGTTGAATAATATTATTGATTTTTCATATCAAACTCCAATTACACAGTTGTAATTTC